GCGACTCAACTACGTGTGTTGTGAATGTGAGTTCCCTGGTTATGCTCTATCTCGCGCAATGCAATACCCAAACCAGTTTCAAACTCCGCAAACCACTCGGCCATTAGATTGAAGCCGTCTTTATTTATTTTTAATCGTAAAACTTTTTTTGGGTGGGGGATGTGGTGGGGGTGGGGGCCCGGGGGGGAAGAGGCTATTTTTGAAACAGAATGCAAACTTTAGTGTGCGTTTAGACTTTTTTTAAACCTGCCCTTAAATAATTTTCAAAGACTTTTGTGCGATGTTGACGGACATAATGATGATGTGTTCACTGCCGGGATCCATCAGGCCTGGAGGGCTTCAGGAGCACGGAAGGCTGGAGCAGGAGATGTCTCTGGTTCATTTATTTACAGGGGGTGGGGGGGGGGGGGTGGGCTAGGCTGGACTAGCCAGCACTTGTGTTATCATTTGGGAATTTCATATCCAGTCAATCATGAACTCCTCCAGCTCAGCTCCACTTATTAATGGCATTTGTACCTTCAGGAGAAAGATAAATCGATTTCCACTCGCTCCTTCTCAGTCAGGCAGGATCACAGCGTCAGCCAAAGAGCTGGGTCAGGTACAATCTGCCTGGTGAACCTTCCCGGGGTGAAGGACTCGGGAGCAAAGTTGACGAGCTTCAGACACCAAGGGGGACGCTTCAGACTCCGTGCTTAACACCCCGCGTGGGATTGAGAGAATAGAGTGGAGGAGGAGTGGAAGAGTGAGGGAGGCGAGGAGTGCTGTAGAGCAAGGGAGTTGAGGCGATGTCATCCGCAGACACGGGGTGAACTTCCGCGTGTGTGCGGATGACACACATATCTACTTTGCCTCCTCCAGCACCAACTCCAGGTCCGCCCATGTTATATCAGCTTGTCTGGCAGACATCAAGGGGCGGATGAGTGCAAACTTCCTTCGCAAGACGGAAGCCATACTCCTTGGCTCCCCTCGACGTCTTCACTCCTGCGGATCTAACCTCCTCAACCCCCCCNGCTCCACTGTTCACAAAATCCAACTCATTCAAAACTCTGCCGCCCGCATACTGACCCGGACCAAACTCCGTACCCACATCTCACTGGTTCTGGCTCAGGCTCCACTTTCCCCAACGTTCCTCTTCGACCGTGTTCACAGCCACCTCCCCTCCTGTTGTTGGTTGTCGCTGAGCGCAGGAGGCAGGGACGAGAGCCGAGGAGTGAGGCGTACACACGTGGGGAACGAGGCTGGGACGGGGAAGGAATTCATGAAGTACAAAGGAGTAACGGCATAGTCACAATGGGCAGAATGGCCTTGTTCTTCACTGAACATGTCCCACGTGATTCACGATTGACTTGCGATTGCTTTCTGCTCTCTTCAGGCACCAGTCAATAAAGCCAAGTTTGAGGTTTTGACGGCGTTCCCCACTGGGTGAAGCCCTTTTGCTATTTGCATTTTTATTTGCTGTTAATTTAATTTCTTTTCAGATCCAATCAATAAGACATCTCTCCGTGCCGTGCGTGAGGAGGAAGCAATCGATGCACTTAATGAACAGCCGTGAAATTTTATTAATATGGAGGGCTGGGGTGGGGGGGTGTGGGCGGGGGGGGTGGGGAGGGATAGAAAAATCATTCAACCTGCGGGACAGTCCCTTTGAGATGTCACTTCGCTGTGTGGTCGATGTCTCGGCCTCAAGTCCCCACTTTGTGCGACAATCAAAAGAGGTAACTGTATATTTTAAGGGCTATTCCACCTCTACTCCAATTTCAATCTCCAGTCACCCCAAACCGAGGGGTGTCAATGTACGGTCTTATCCCGAGTTGTGGAACCCTGAAGCTGTAAACGCTGCTGTGTATTAAACACCCTGACGCTCCCAGACATTTCCCTCCAATGCCAAACAGCTCGTAACCGTGTCAGTTGCCAGGAATGGCCTCCGATCAGTGGCCGGTCATTGCCAGACCGGCTCGTGCTCAGTGCCCCCGGTCCCCGGCAGCTCTGGACCGTGGAGTGGAAGATGTCTCCCTCTGCTGGCGAGCGGCCGCGCCACACCTCATCGTGAACAGATGTCAGATTCCGGAGGGAAATTTCACGACTGTGTTCGTTGCGATAACACATCGTGAAACGTCGTGAATTAACCCCATCTGTGTCTTTCTGGATTGACTGGATTGTCCGTCCTCCTACCCGGTTGTCAGTCGAGTGGCGGATTGCTTTCGTGGGGGGGGGGAGGGGGGCGGGTAATGATCCAATTAAAACAAAATGTTGTCACTCACTCCACGACTGTTTGCGAGACGCTGCTGTGCGCAATCGGCTGCCGCATTTTGACCACAAAATACGCAGTCAACCCACTCTGTTTGCTTTGCGAAGCACTTTGAGATGTCTCAACGACACGATAAGGCACTGCATTAAGTGTTAATGATTGTTATTAATATTATTATGGTCTCCTCGCACGAGACCAGCACAGGATAGGACAGGAGAGAGTGAACGAGTTCCAAAAACTCCTGTAACTTTGCCTGTTCTGATCTCCCGGTGACGATCTCACAAACCTGATGGACGAGTCTTGACCCGAGCAGTTGTTCATTGTTTATTTTCTTCATCGCAATTACCAGCAATTCCACGCTGCCACTCCAATGTCATTTCATTTGCAATGTAATCTACACATCTCATTCAGCTCTGGCACTTAAGAGAGAGAGTGAGAGAGATGGTTCCTCCTTTCAAACATTCCTTGGGCCTCTGTGTACGAGTGTGTGTGTGTGTGTGTGTACACGTGCATACGAGAGTGTTTGTGTGTGCGTACACATGTGTGTCTAAGCTAGAAAATAGATTATGGGATATAGTACGTGGGTCGTTCGGGATATATGTGCTTACGACCGACAGGAAGGTGGAAGATGAATTAGATGGACCTTGCTCTTTTTTTCGTCTCGCATTTCTTAGGTTCTTATGTTATATTCTTATATGTGTGTGTGCGTGTGTGTGTTACGCGGGTGGATGTGTTTGTGTACACGTGTATGTACGCGGTTGGGGCGCGTGCACACACACACACACACACTTACAACTACCACAAAATAAACTGCTCTCTGAGCTCATTCAGCATGAGGCCCTGATCATTAAAAGCAATCTTCCGTCCTTTCTAATGGACCGTATCGATAGTTGTTGGTGCTGAGAAGCATTGAGCGGCATTACAGAGAGCCAGAGAGAGAGAGCCAGAGAGAGCGAGAGAGCAACAAGCGCTGATAAATGAGGCTGAGACCTTCAGGGCAGCTGCTGTTCGCACATCCACTGGGGGTCGAACCCTTAATGAGAGATCCGAGCGCATTCCAGTGACGTCATTGCTGAGAACTGGGAACGCCGTCCCAAACAGCTGGAACGGAGATTCCAGGGGATTCATGCGACATTCTGACTAACGGAAATCCAGCGCCTTGGGGCATCCTCCTGACGTGAAAGGCGCTATCTGAATGGAATTTGTTGTTGCTGTCTGTTTGCTCCCGACCGACGCTCCCCCTCCAAATCCCGTGTGTCAGGCACAATGCCGATGCCGGGCCGCCTGGGAATGTCGGGAATTTTTTTTTTTAAGTTGTGCGCAAGGCGTTCAGGTTCATGATTTTAAAGGAGTGAGGACTGGACCAGGAGTGCGAGGGTGAGAGATCTAATCCAGGTGTGGGATTAGAGAGAGACATATACAGAGAGAGAGACACGCACACAGAGCAACACGCACACACTCACACACACACAGACAAAGACACACATACAGGCACAGAGAGAGACCCACACACAGATACACATACACGCAGAGAGAGACACACACACACAGATACATACTCAGAGAGAGACCGACACACAGACAGAGAGAGAGAGACACATACATGTACAGAGACACAGAGATACAGACACAGACGCACATACAGATGACAGACAGAGAGACACAGACAGACACAATGAGAGACGCACACACAGAGACATACAGGGTTGGTCCTAGTAAGGTTTCCTTCTGGTTTGCGTGTGATTTATTTCATTGTGCGCTAACACAACAGAGAGCGAGACTTAGAATATTTCCAATCGAGGGCTGCTACCCTAAAGCCAATCCACCGTGAAGTATCATTACCAGCTATTACTACCTTTTGGATAATGTATAAATTCTGTTTTAACGTGACCTTTTCCCTTCATTTTTCACGAGCTGACGCTAGATTAATGTCTGAGCTGTAGGCCGGATGGAATGCAGCTTCGCAGTGATTTATTGGTCACTTAGCACTGATGAAGCTGCAAACAGAAGTCAAACTGTTGTTAAGCCGTGTTTCCCTTCATCACGTTTGCATTTTCAGCTGCTCAACATTCAGCCCACGACGTCCGGGAAGATTCAGCTAGATAAATAAATCAACTGGGCCCAGAGGAGATGCCTTCAGTGATTTTCTCCGTTCCCCCACCTACACACGCACACACACACACACACACACACACAAGCACGCACACGGACACACACACACATACACACACACACGCGCACACACATACAATTGCACCTCTGTTCAGGTGCAAAATCCAAAAAGGGAGTTTCTCTCGGCCGGTGTCCAGGCCAATAACCCCCCGGATAAATGTGGTCGTTCACTCGCTAGACATCGCTGTGTGCAAAACTGCCGGCCGCGTTGGCTTTGGAAAAAATACACAGTCACTACACTCGACGGTACATCCACTTAAGAGCTTTGAGACGTCCTCCTGACATGAAAGGGGCTATTTGCGGGACAGTGATGTGCGCAATTGGCTGCTGTGTTTTGCCCACAAAATAAATAGTCAACATACAGCCGCCTTACACTATATCCCGTGAAGCGCTTTGAGACGTCTTATCGAGGATATGATAAGGCACTATATCAAATGCAAGAATTATCATTATCATTATTATTATTATTATCAAATACGAGGGTTATTTGTTGCCATGATGCAATAGATGGTGGAACTCCTGTCCCTGTGTTTTCCCAGTGATTGAGGCCGCGGCTCACGTTGGTTGTGTTTCTCCACAGAACCCCGACATCGTATTAGTGCATTACCTGAACGTGCCGGCCATCGAGGACTGCGGGAAACCTTGCGGCCCAATCTTGTGCTCCATCAACACCGACAAGAAGGAGTGGGCAAAATGGACGAAGGAGGAACTGATCAGCCAACTGAAGCCGATGTGTGAGTGTCTCCATTCCCTCCCCCCCCACCCCACCCCACCCCGCTCCCCGCGGACCCCACGGCCCTTTAGCACTCGTAGATAGGGACGGGAGAGGGAGAGGATGGACCCGCCCACGGCTTTTCTCTTCTACTCACTGCGTGTGGGAGTCGGGTCAAGGGTTAAGTCTGCCTGGCTCGGCTCGCCCCGTGGGATGCTAAGGAATGTTTTGTGGACTGGAAACTGCCTTTAATGATGGGTTTGGGACTGTGCCCCATCGCCCCCTTCCCCCCTCCACACCCCCCACACACCAACACTGGACTTCAGGAGATTGCTTTCCTCCTGCGCTCTCGAATTATCTCAAATTAATTTTTTTTTTTGCTTTTGCTCTCAAAGTCATTCAGTCTGGAGAAGAGACGCCACATCCACGCTCTCCCCGGCCCCATTAAAGGCTTCCTCCCCCTGGCACAGCTCCTCCCCTCGCTCGGCCCCTCAACCGCCCCCCACCCCCCACTCAGCCCCTCCCCAGCTCAGGCGCCAAGGGTTTTGACGACAGGTGACTTGTAACAGCATCGAGGGAAGTGACAGTTAAGAGAAGCCCTGGATCTGTCTGACCGTGTTCATCAGACTCTTTCCAGCCTCACACATTCCCGTTCACACCTGCTCACACTCGTCCACACCTGCTCACAGACACACACACACACACACACACAAACCCTGTACAACGGAACAAAGGACAGAACCCAGTAGCATCTCAAATCGCACGTTTACCGATGCACTGGGGGCCTGAAATTCCACCCGCTCTCGGCCTGTCAGACAGTTGGTGTCGAACCCGAAAATCCGGTCTCAGGCATTGAGACAACGGCGTTAAGACTGGACGGACAGGGTTTCCCATCAATTCTGCCGCGTCTTAAAACTTTTAAGACAGAAAAAGGAGTCGGGGCGGCTGAGAGCGGGTGCAGTGCCAGGCCTGGGTCTGTAATGACTGTAGTTGGATTTGACAAAAGAGAGGGATGAAATCAGAGGTACAGCTGTTATTTTATATGTGACATACAGGTATTGGTATTCCGAGATATCGAGACACCCCGAGGGTCGGGGCAAAGCATTGTTCCAAGGGAACGCCAGTGGATGATATTGGCTATGAAGGTAATGTTGTGTTCTTGACTATAGTTCTTTGTTAAGGTTTGCCTGACTCTGGATCAAACAAGCGGTGAGCGAGGCGGTGTGCTCTCTGAGGCTGTGGCACGTTCTGGTGGTGGGTGGGGGTGGTTGGGTGGTTGGGTGGGTGGGGGGGGGGGGATGGGATTCTGATCCTATGGCCAACAGGGACTAGGTTTCAGAGTCTTTTTCTCTCTCTCTCTCTCTCCCCCCTCCCACCCCTACCCCCACCCTCCGCCAAACACATCGAGCCACAGCTCTGCATTATTGAAATGTTGATGTTCTGATTTCTGTATGTTTGTATTGCCTTTTCTCATCCTCAGGCGTTCTACAGACCCAGGGGTCTGTCTAAATTCCCCCCTTGACCCCCTCCCCCCCACTCCGCCCCCATTCCGCCCCCAAAAAAGGGAATTATAATTTGGTGACTCAATCCACGACTGTTTGTGGGACGCTGCTGTGCGCAATTGGCCGCACTCTCTCTCTCTCACTCTCTCTCTCTCTCTCTCTCCCCTGGAGGGATGCACCCTGCTCCCTCTCCCCCCCCCCCCCCCGAACGTCCTGTTGGCCAAGAGTTGGATTTGTGATACCCTAGGGTCAGCCCTGAGGTCAGGCATTGCTTCCTCGCGTCCCACCGGCTGCTTAAGAGGCCGAGGTGTGGGGGCAGTGGGTTGGGAGTAGTTAGCACGACCGCCTCAGGGAGAAGAGAGAGAACGAGAGAAGGAATGCGGTGAGGCGCAGGACCGCACGTTGCCACTGGCCGGCGCTAGCAACCTGGTGTGCGGGCTCCACATTGCCATCCAGAGCTTCCCCATCTCTTCTGGAAGGTGTATGTGTGGGTGTGTGTGGGGGGGGGGGAGGGGGGTGGGTGGGGGGTGTTGGACGTGCGCGTGTGTGTGTAGGTAGAGGTTGGACCAGAACAGGGCAGCGATGGATGACCCTGTGTTCACTAACCAAAGCGCTCCAGGACGCTATCCCTCGTGAAGGGCGCTCTATAAATGCAAGTTGCTGCTGTTGTTGTTGTAGCTTACGGCCAGTGATGTGAGGACGTGAATGGAACCTTCCTCCCGCCATCCCCCCACCCACCCACCCACCCCCACAGGAGTGGGCACTCGCTGGAGAGGGTGGGCGGGGGGTGAGATTTTCACTTGCATCACCCGAGGATCTGAGAGGAGAGGACCAGTTGTGTTGAGGCACATTTACATCAAAGCTTTCAGACAGCCTCCCTCAGCTCAGCCCCTCTGGCTTGGCCCCCGCTGACCCAGCAGAGCTATATTTAGTGTGATCTCCGCGTGGCGACTGTGCACAGCAGAGGGGGGGCTGAGTGCTGACTGGAAAGCTCTCGCCACCGACACTGTGGGTTGACGCTGGCAAACTGCTTGATATTCGGTACTCGTTCTCTCTGAGCTTTCTCTCTCCTTCTTTATAAGTAACACAAACGCACGAGACAGTTTGCACATCCCCTGGTGTGGAATGTTTCCCAGGAACCCACCCACCCCCCCACCCCCACCACCCCCCCACCCCCACCCCCAGTTTACGTTTTTAACACCAGCACTTTGACCTCCCGAGGTCAGTCACTACACTTTACGGTAAAGTCCTGCAGGGCACTTTGAGACATCCTCTGAATGCGAAAGGCACTGTATCAAATGTAAAGATAAGGCATTAAGCAGCTTCTCTCTCCCACTGACACTGAGGTATTGCAGTCAGTGCAAAGTGCCAGTTTATCTCTCCACCTGCCGTGTTCACCCACAAATACACAGTCACTACACTATAAGTTACTGGCGAGCGCTTTAATTCAGTTTGGCATTACAGTGCTATAAAAATGCACGTTTGGCAGTGAATTTAGTTTATTGCACCCACAAACATTCCTGAAATACTGTATTAAATAAATAACTGGGAGGCGACTGAAGGGAAGATCTAAGCGTAACCGAGAACTTTACTCTGTCTCTAACCTGTGCTGTCGCTGACCTGGGACTGTGGACGGGCAGTGTAGAGGGAGCTTTATTCTGTCTCTAACCTGGGACTATGCGCGTGTGTGTGTGTGTGTGTGGGGGGGGGGGGGGGGAGAGGGGGCGAAAAAAAGTAAGGAACTAAAATGAAAGGAACATTATTTTCCAGCAGTACTGTTCCTGGGAACAGAAATAAGACGAATGACAAAAGAAATGATAACAGATAAAAAAAAGCACAAGCCATGGGCAGAATATTACGGTAAAGAGGGGGAAAAAAAATCAGAACGGCGCAGAAAATAAATTGTGAATCCAACCTCGTTGTGAGTCTTAGCTCTCTGGAAAATGTTCCAGAAGGCCCCGAGAAATTTACTGTTGCATTTCCTGTCTCATCCCTCATTGATTTTGTAAACGACTACAAGCCACGGAAGATTATTGCAGCGGGCAGTGCGCAGGGGGGCGTCGGAGGGGCAGGGCATCTCGCCCGCACCTGGCAACTGAGCTCAACAACAACAACAACAACAAACAAATGACACTTGTACAGCGCCCTTCGCGGCGGAAGGACGTCCCAGGGCGCTGGACGGTTTTTGGACCCGAGCTGGGAGTTGGTGGAGGACAGGAGTGGTGGGTGGTGGTGGGGGGGTGGCACGACCGAAGAGGAAGGTCTTGAGGCGGAACATTTAGGAGGCAAGAGAGGGGGTGAGGCGGGAGGATTAGGGAGGGGTAGAGTTCCAGAGTGTCCAAACCCCACCCATCTATCTCTGGGGGATGTTAAACATCCAGTGTGGCCCTATCGGTAAAGGGAAGGGAGCTTCCCTCCCTCGGCCCCGGCTGACAACTGGCTGTGAGGTGCTTTGATGTTGTAGACGCTGTGTCAAACGTTGAGAATTATCAGAATTATTGCTAACGTAAATGGACTTCAAGCAACTGTTTGTCTCATCCGGGGCACACTGTGCCGAGCCATTGAACCTCCCCCTCCCCTCCCCTCCCCTCCGCGCTCACACACACACACACACACAATTCCACTGTAGTTGGAACAACATGACAGGTGATGTTTTAATTATCACTTTATTGAAAATTCTGTTTGGTCAGTCAACTTAACATATCCATCATTTAGCCCCCCCCACCTTCCCAACCCCCCCCCACCCCCCCCCCCGGACTCTCTCCCAGTGATTGGACGGAGTCTCGGTTCACGTCTGCTGTCGACTTCATTGAGGAATGCCCTCAAGAAGCTCCGCAAGTCACACTCGCTGTGCGAGAGCTGAAGAATTTGAAACCGTATAATTATTTATGTTAAAAATACATCGTTTTCTTGGCTGGAAATCTCGGATGTTTGGAAACACGTAGATTAGGGCCCCGGCTCGTGTTTGTTGATGTCTGTGTGTGGACAGGAAAGAGAGAGAGAGAGCGAGTGGGGGTTAGAATTAGATAATCTCACCAGCCACTCGCCTGAACCCCGTTCTCCCATATCTCCACCCGCTGGCCACGATTTTCGCTCTTAATTTCATCCCCACCTCTTACGAGGCCGCTTTTTGGGTTGTTTTCAACCGTTAAAGGCAGCGGGGAAATCGCGAACAAATTCCTGCAATTTGCTGCGATTCTTCCTGACCGAAGGTTTCCAACTGATGGCGGCATTCGCCGCATTTCTGCGCTGTCTCGGATTGTAAGACAGACTCTGCCGCGGGCGCCATCGGCTGCCGCGTTTCGCCCACAAAACATACAGTCAATTCACTTTACGGTGTATCCTGTGAAGCGCTTTGAGACGTCTCGAAGACGTGATAAGGCGCTGTGTCAAATGCAAAGGATTATTATTATGATTATGATTAGAATCGGTATCACGGGCTAAGACCAGAGAGAATTTGCAGGGCTCTTGTTATCTGTTCAGCTGATCACCGGTGACGGGGGAGTGTGTGTGTGTGTGTGTGTGTGGGGGGGGTGTGTAGTGGGGGTGGGAGTTGGGGGGGGGGGTGCGGGTGAGAGGGGAATCCTCTGACCAGGCTGTTGGTTGTGTGTGAGCGGTGGTGGTGAGTGACAGCGCGTGTCGGCCGGCCGGCAGGCAGACAGGCAGACTGCTCACACGTTTGCTGACGACAGTCACTACACTTTCGGCAAGAATCAGTGACAGCGACTTGCACTTATGTAGCGCCCTTCACGCCCCGAGCAAAGCGAAGCAGTCTGGAGACCTTCCGAGGTTAAAAGCTGTGAGAATGCAGGTTGTCCTTCACGCTGGGGCGGGAGGGAGGGATAATTAAGGGAACCTCTCGCTGTGTTTTCTCGGACTGTCTCCCGTCCCACCCCCCACCCGCCCTCTCCAGTGGTAACAGCTCCCGGCATTCCATATAGCGCCTTATCCCGGTCTCCGGGACCGGTCTCAAAGCCCTTCCCAGGTGCCACCAGCAGTGCCCCGAAGTACTGCGGACGCCCCCGGAGAGGGGTCTCGATTCCCGACGTTCCGTTGCCCAGACCCGGTCACCTTTGGAGCGGGTTCGGACCCCCCACCCCCCACCCCCACCCCTCGGCAGAGCAGCGTCGCAGCGCACGGGCGGCTCGGAGCAGATTCCGTGGGGTAGCAGCACCCTCCGGTGGCCATGGGCCGTCACTGCAGCCACCGCGCGCCGCTCGCTCGCTCTGCTCTGCTACGCCACACACGCGGCGCATAATGGTTCACTCACCGGCGTCATTTCTGGACCGGTCTGTGTCTGTGTCGCCTCGCAGCGAGATCGCGGCCGGGACCGACCTATCTGATCAGGACGGTGCTGCCTGTCCCTCTGCGGGGGCGAGAACACGGCAGAAGTGTTTTATAGAGAGCCTAATAATTTTTTAATTTAATTTTTTAATTTAATGTTTTACACAGAGCCTAATAATATTCCCTCCAAAACCAAAAACAATAATAAATTGGTCATTTTCAATCCACGACTGTTTGTGGGACATTGCTGTGCGCAATTGGCCGCCGCGTTCGCCCACAAATATACAGTCAATTCACTTTACAGTGTGTTCTGTGAAGCGCTTTGGGACGTCCTCTCCCGACGTGAAGAGCGCTATATCAAATGCAAGGATTATTATTATTATAGTTGTAGTTCTGCGACGGGGGAGGAAATTGCGGTATTCCTAAACACCGCCCCGCGACGTTCCTCGGTTGAGGAGTGGCGTCCAAAGGGTGACGTTCGTGGCGGAGTCTGAAGCTGCCCCGAGAACGCTCGGAGCTGCTGCTTTGGAATCGGTGCATCTGAGAGAGGACGCGCTGCATACGCGAGGGGGAAGGGAATATAGGGTGTCGGTGAGGGGAACGGGAGGGATGTGTGGAGCATAAACACTGTCTGGGGATGGATGAACTGTTCCGTTCCCGCGCCTCTCTCTCTCTGTGCGACTCTGTAACTGGTCGCCCGCAGGAACGGTGCTGTTTAAGTGCAAGTTGTTGTTATAGTAACTTTCAAAGGGGCCAATTCACCGGGACGTTGGTTTCGTGAAGTTCCAGTTAACAACGCAATACTCATTAACCCGGGGGGCAAACCCAGGCTTGTCGCTGGTCAGGTTAAGGTTAGGGGAGGGAGGAACGTTCTCGCGCAGAGGCGGAGAACAGAGAGACATTGGGATAAAAGGAGGAACGTGAAAGGATTCGGGGGAGAGAGAGGGTGGGACGGGAAGGGCGCACTCCGGTGGCTGAGCAGGTGCTTTACAGAGCCGAATGGCCTCCTCTCGTGCTGTGCTTTCTTTCATTCTCTAAGCTGTTCCGAGCGTTCCCGTCTCAGGACCGGTCGCTGTGACCAAAAACAGTCACTACACTTGACAGTAATTACTGGTGAAACACTTTGAGACCTGCGGCGTAAGGAGGCGCTTTCAAAAACTAAAATTTTAATTCGTTGGTTCTCTCCTTCCTTCCTTCCCTCCTCAACGTTCCCGAGCCAGCGCCAGCGCCAGAGCCAGAGCCAGTGCCAGCGCCAGCGCCAGTGCCAGCGCCAGCCTGCTTCAATCTCCTGAAGTTCTGCACTAATCGGGAATGGTTTCCCCAATCCCAGAACTTCCCGAGTCACACACACAAACACACACACACACGGACAGACGTTCCCAGATTTCTCAGCTCCCATCACACTCCCGATCCGGGGCTGTTAACTGGGATAACTTACCGGGGGCTTGGGAGGGGGAGTGGGGGGAGAACCAGGAAGTGCTCAGGAGAGGACAGGATTGGGGGGGGGGAAAGCTTGAGGCTGCCCACATTACCCCACCCCACCCCCACCCCCACCCTGCCCCCTCCCTCCCTCATTAACGACAACATTGGGGTAGGGGGGCCCTGGAGTTGCCCAGACTCAGCCCAGCACAAGGCAGCGTCCAGGAGAGGGTGATTTTCTTGAGGGGGTGGGGAGGGGGTGTTAGGGAAGGTGGGGTGGGGGTGGGGGGGCTTAGCTGAGTTGAGCTGAGCGGTGGCCCCGGTTTACCCGGCCTCTCACCGTGTCTGTGTCTCTCTCCGCAGTTCATGGCATCAAGTGGACTTGCAGTAACGGCACGAACAGTGCCGGCTTCTCGGTGGAACAGCTTGTTCAGCAGATCCTGGACAGTCACCAGAGTAAACCGCAGCCTCGCACGCACAACTGCCTGTGCACCGGCACCCTCGGTAATCACACCGCCCGCCTGCCCGCCCGCCCGCCCGCCTCACCCGCTCGCTCAGCCTTCCACCCTCAAGCTCAACCTCAACCACAACCTCTCAAAGCGCCTCGCAGACATTGTTGTCAAGTGTTAGTGACTGTGTATCCGTAGGTACGCAGGTAGCAAAAGTCCCCCCAACAGATCTTTCGCTGGATTTCTCGTGTCCTCCGACCCCCAAACAGGTTCCGATGGTGACCCTCCCTCTCCCCCCCCCCTCCCTCCCCAGTTTAACGTCTCGCCTGAAGGACTGTGGGGTGGGGTGGAGGTGGGGGTTTGTAGTGGGGTAGCGCTGCATTTTCGGAGACGCCTTCCTTTGGATGAGATGTTAAACTGATGCCCACGGCCTTGCCTGTTCGAGTTGAGGATCTGCCCACGTTATTGGGAGAGAGAGAGAGAGAGAGAGAAAGGTAGATCGGGAGATGTCCTGCCCAACAATCCTCCAGATAAGCTGGTCTGTCGCCTCGGCACCCGATTAGGGGATCAACTGGCACAAAGTGGCTGACTTATTGGCTTGTAGAGAGTCACTGCACTTGATGGTAATCACTGGAAACCATTGAGATCTTCTCATGTGTGAATGCGCTGTAAAAAAGATAAATTCTCTCTCTCCCTTTTTCTCACTCTTTTTCTTTCTCTTGCACTATTTCTCATTCTCACTTTGTCCCTTTCTCTCCGTTTTTCTCTCGCTCTCATTCTCTCTCATTCTTGCCTCTCTCTTGCTCTCCCTCGCTCTCTCTCTTTCTCTCTCTCAATTCTTTTGTTCGCTCTGACTCTTTCAATCACTTTCTGACTCTCTCTCTCTCGCTCTGTCTCTCTTTCGTTCTGTGTCTGGATCGCTCTGTCTCTCTCTCTCTCGCTCTCTGACACGTGTTCCTTCCTCTCAGGGCCTGGGAGCAGCGTGCACCACAAGTGTAACAGTGCCAAGCACCGCATCATCTCTCCCAAGGTGGAGCCCCGGTCGGGGGGCTACAGCGGCCACGCAGAGGTGCAGAACAACGACGTGTCCGAGGGCAAGAACGACCACGGCCATGGCAAGGCCAGCGGCCGGGAGAGGAGGAACGGCAAAGTGGCCAAACCCGTCCTGCTGCACCAGAACAGCACCGAGGTCTCCTCCACCAACCAGGTGGAAGTGCCTGACACCACCCAGAACTCCCCGGTGTCCATCAGCAGTGGGCTGAACAGCGAGACGGACATGGCCGACAGCCCGGCCATCACCGCCGTCTCCAGCATCGCCGTGGCCTCCGTCATGTGCAGCCTCTCGCAGAACGCCACCGTCTTCATGTCCGAGGTCACCAACGAGGCCGTGTACGCCATGTCCCCCAGCGCCGGCCCTAACCAGCACCTCATGGCGCCCGAGCCCGGCGCCCAGGGCCTGGTGCTGGCCGTCAACTCCGACGGGCACAAGTTCGCCTTCTCGGCCTCCGGCGGCCCAGACAGCCTGTCCATCATGTCGGCCAACATCTCGGAGGACCTGGTGCTCTCATCCACCCTGGAGACCAGCGAGAAGATCCCGGAGGCCAGTATGAACTTCGACCCCGACTGCTTCCTGAACAACCCCAAGCAGGGCCAGACGTACGGTGGGGGGGCCTTGAAGAGCGACGGGGAGGGGGTCGCGGGCCTGAGGCCTGGGGTGGGGGCCGAGGGCGGCTACACCTTCAGCGGGACTCTCCTGAAGGAGATCAAGACCGAGGACAATTCCTTCGAGCAGCAGATGTGCAAGGAGGGTTACTCCACCTCCTCCTCCTCCGTCCCCAACTCCATATCTCTGACCCCCGGCTCGGCCTTGCTGTCCTCTGGAGGCTTGAGCCCCAGCACCACCCTGGAGCAGATGGATTTCAGCGCCATCGACTCCAGCAAGGACTTCTCGGGCTACGTGCAGCCCTCGCAGGGCAACCACCAGTCCCACCAGAGCCCCTCGCCCAGCTTCTTCCTGCAGGACGCTGGCAAGACCCACCATCAGCTGGAGCAGGGCGGGCACGGGGGGCAGCTGGGGGAGATGGGCGGCAGCTCCTCCTTCGCCAGCCCCATGCCCCTCGCCAACGTCAAGACCGAGGCCACCGGCCAGACCCCGCCGAGCTGCAACCGAGCCGGGGAGCCGGGCCGGGTGGAGGCCGGGGCCTCGCTGCAGCTCCTGCAGTTCCAGGCCAACTTCCAGCCCGTAGCCTCGGAGGCCGAGGTTCCCATGGAAACGACAGGGCAACCGGAGAACGGCGGCAACCTGCTCAAGTCGGCGGAAATGGCGGCCTGCGTCACCGAGCACTACATCCCACCCGAGGGCGAGGGCGCAGCGGCGGCAGCGGCGGCGGCAGCAGCAGCGGGCACCAACCTGCCCATCCTGCAGGGCAACATCGTGAGCGGCCTGTACCCCATCGCCCACCACAGCCTCAACCCGGCCAACATGGAGCTCAACCTGGACCACTTCGACATCTCCTTCAGCAACCACTTCTCCGACCTGATCAATGACTTCATCTCGGTGGAGGGGGGCACGGGCATGCTGTACGGGCACCAGCTGGCGGGGGGCGAGGGCAGCGGCCTACCCCAGGTCGGCGACGAGGGGGCGAGGGCTTCCTTCGGGCCGGCGGAGATGTGCGTCCCCTGCTGCAGCCCCCAGCAAGGGCACCTGCAGCTGGGCAGTGGCGAGGCGGGGGCCGGGACTGGCTCCTTGGCCTACATGCACGTGGCAGAGGTAGTGGCGGCCCAAGGCCCCCTGGGCGCGCTGCAGCAGAGCGGACGCCTCTTCATGGTGACCGACTATTCCCCAGAGTGGTCCTACCCCGAGGTGAGGCACGATTGGTGCGGGAGCGACGGATTACCCTCCCCTTGAAAATTCCCAGCCGCTCGCCTTCCTTCCTTCCCTCCCTCCCTCCCTCCTTCCCTCCCTCTGTCCAGAGTTAGAACGCTCCCACTGTCTGGAGTCCCACCCAAACCCCTGTCCTCCCTGAGTTCAGAAGGTTGAGGGACTGATCTGATTGAGATGTTTCAAACAATAAAGGGATTCGATAGCGTAGATACAGAAAAACTATGTCCTCTGGTGGGGTGGGGGGAATCCAGAACAAGGGAGGGCATCATCATCATCATCTTAGTATTGAGCTGGGCCATTTTGGAGTGAATTCAGGAAGCACTTTTATACACAGAGTGGTCGTGGAAATCTGGAACGCTCTGCCCCCACCCCCCCCCCCAAAATGCTGTGGATTCTGGATCCGTTCAAATTTTCGAGACTGTGTCATGCGGGGTCAGGGTATCAAAGGATACGGGGCAAAGGCGGGTGATTGGATTTGAGGTACAGATCAGCCATGATCTAATAGAATGGCGGAACAGGCCGGAATGGCCTGAATGGCCTCCTCCTGTTCGTATGATCCTACGTCCCCGTTACCCTATGTCACTAATCCTTAATAAGTTCAGAAAGACCACACATTAGCTCCATAACAGTGCGTGTGTTGGGATGTCCTCCCGCTGTGAAAGTCAGGTGTAAACCAGATATAATTTGTTGTTGCGTCCCCCGATTACCCCTCCGACACCCCCCCCTCCCACCCCAACTTTCAAAGCTCGCCTCAAAACTTACCACATTGACCGCGCTTTCGGGCATCGTCCCCCCACCCCCCACACACCCCCCAGCCTTCTCCCTCTTCCACTGCCTTTTGTGGGAAGTGTTAGGAGGGAATGTCTTAATAATTATAATAATAATAATAATAATCCTTGCATTTGATACAGCGCCGTTTCACGTCGTCGAGACGTCTCAAAGCGCTTCACAGGATATCACTGTAAAGTGGAGTGACTGTGTGTTTTGTGAGCGATAAAGCCGTGATTACACGCGGTGAATATTATGCAGCCTGCTTCATGTCCCCCGCCTCGCTCGCCCCACTATTGGCAAGGGGGGGAGGTGGGGGGCTCTTCTGCCACTCTGCCCCCACCCTCTGCAATGTCCCTCCGCCTCGCCCCCTCCCTTGCCTCCTTCAAGACCCTGACTATGTGGCGTCTCTCTGTGGATTGTGTTACAGGGAGGAGTGAAAGTACTGATCACAGGCCCTTGGCAGGAGGCCAGCAATAACTACAGCTGCCTGTTCGACCAGATCTCTGTACCTGCGTCCCTCATCCAGCCCGGAGTGCTCAGGTGCTACTGCCCAGGTACCAGGCGTCTGTTTCCGTCACTATTTCTGTAACTCGGAGCTCACAGTCCAAGCTGACGCTCAAGGGCAGTGCTGACAGGAGGTGGGGAGGGTGGGAGGTGGGAGTGGGATGGAGGGAACAAGTATTGTTGGAGGTGCCATCCTTTTCGCTAAGACCATAAACCAAACTGGTGGGTTGGACAGACGTTTCTATTGGAAAAGAGAAGGGAATTCTCTACCCCGTTATTTACTGTGTCTCAGGTTGGCAATCACTGCTTGTGCCTGGTCACAGCGGAAGGGGAGGGGGAGATGCCGTGGGGGCTGCTCTTTACACCCCGGGGTTCGGGCCAACAGTCCCTGTGTGGTCTCTTAGCAATGTGGAGGGGGTGGGGGCATGGCTTAACGTGTATCAATTGGCACAGTCACTACATCTGAAGGCAGCTGGCTTCAGACTCTGTGTGACTCGGGAGGATAACTGACTTGCTTTTGATTGATTGCTTGATTGATTGATTAACTCTTTCCTACGCAGCTCACGACACCGGCCTGGTCACCCTGCAGGTGGCCTTCAACAGTCAGATCATCTCCAACTCGGTGGTCTTCGAATACAAAGCTCGGGCCCTGCCCGTTCTCCCCACCTCACAGCACGACTGGCTCTCTCTGGACGGTAAGCCCCCCCCCCATCACACTCCTCTACCCTCCGAGTCTCCCTGCTCGGGTCGGGGGATTTTACCACAGTTCTGCGCAGTCTTAGTTTAAATGCAGATCATGGCTGCTGAGGACCAGATTCCCTATTTGAGACAAGTCTTCGGGCTGCATGAGCAATATTTTTGTATTTCCCTTCCAGCAACATAACACAACACATTTACGGGCGGTGGAGGGGGCGGGTGGGCCATATAAAATGGAGTGGGAGGGGGGGGCACGGACAAAATATGCCCGCGACCGCCAGTTGGACCACCCGAATGTCGACCACAACAAGCTTTCTCATCTTGTCCAGAACAATAGGACCAGAGGACACGACCTGCGATTGAAAAGTGGGGGTGGGGGGGGGGGAGATTCTAAACCAAATCTGCAGAAACACTATTTCAATGAGCGAGCGCTAAATCTGTGGAACAGACTCCCCTCCCTCAGGAGACGGTGGAAGCAGAAAGCGTTGATTCTTTCGAATGCAAATCAGATAGGATACTTATTTAGGGAAATAGTATTTTGGGGTTACGGTAACCGTACTTGAGTAGTTCAGGATTCGACATGTGCCGGGGTGGTGGAAGGCAAACTGGATGGACCTTGGTCTTTCTTTCGTGTAGTATTTACTGTGTTCTTAAATGTTTAGGATAAATTGTTCTCAGAGGCTAAGACTAGGTGGAATTTCACAGCTCTAGCGGGAGGGAAGGGGGTGTAGGAGTGGGTGTAAAGGCGACTCTGTAAGGGGTGAGGGGAGGGGGAGGGGGGAGATATCTGCAGCCACCGGATAACTTTCCCAAAGAAAGTTTGTGAAATGCTGAGTTTGAGAGTGACCGACAGTGTCTCTGCAACTCCACCGGTAGCCACTCGGCGCTCCCACACGATCGCCTGAACTCACAACATTGTGCACTTACTTCAGTTGTTCTTTGATATCCTTAGGAACAGGAATAGGCCATTCAGCCCCTGGAGCCTGTTCTGCCCTTTTATTAGATCATAGCTAATCTGCAGCTCAACTTGAATAACCCGCCTTTGCCCCATATTAGATGATTATTTGGGGGGGAACAAGTTTGCAAGGCTATGGGGAGAGCGCGGGGGATTGGGATTGATTTGGATAAATTTGAATGGATTTGGATGGCTACTTAGGAATGAAACAATGGCCCCTGATATCACTGTCACACCAACAAGGGGTTGGGTTTGACGTTTAACGACAATTTCCCTCCGCAATTTTCATCAGATTTGTTTTATTCTTCCGATACATCAATAACAATCCTTGTGGCAGCAAAAAAAAAAGTCAAAATGCGTCACACTTGTTTTTATGCGTAGTGAGTGTGTGTTTCAAACACAGCAGTCAGTTTGCGCACAGTGATGACCCGCAAACAGCCAGGGGCTGAGCATCCGATTTTATCTGGGGGATTGTTGGCCACGACACCAGGAAAGAGAAACTCCGTTCTCTTTTTCAATAGCATTGCGAGATGTTTAACATCCACCTGAACAGATTGACAGGACCTTGGTTTAACAAGACCTCTCTGACAAGGCAGCGATTCCCCCAACACTACACCCTTACACCCTCCCGCTCCCCAAAGTCCCAGCCTGGAGCTTGAACTCACAACCTCTGACCCACGAAGCCAGAGAGCTTGACCACCCGAGCCAGGCTGACATTCATGACCTGGAATAAACATTGCCCTCCCTGACCAGCCCCTGTAAATCTCACCCCAGCACTCACCCTGTAGTAAAGGGGACTACAGATCCTGGGCAGCCCACGTCTGCTTCTCTTTGGGCTTGACTTTTTTGTTCAGCTCTAGCTGTAACCTTGAGACTCAATTCTGATTCCCTTTCAAAATACAAGCGTCATATTCTGTTATTTTAAGTAAGTCGCTCCCAAATCCTACACAAGCACTTAGTCATTCTCTCCTCGTCTTTAGCTGGGTGTATTTCAGGATGGATGTGTCCATCCTCCCTGTTCCTTGGTCACCTCACACACTAGCCTCACGACACCTGCTCACTCTTTGGCTCAGAAGGTTGTGGGTTTGAATCCCCACTCTGGAACCTTTGACCCCCCCCCCCCCTCCCAACCCTTGCTGGGACCTTTCACAGTCCAGGCGGACCTTCCAGCGCAATGCTGGGTGGAGCACTGCACTGGCGGAGGTGCTGTCTTTCAGATGAGAAGTTAAACCAAGGTCCCATCTGTGTCTGTTTAGGTGGACATAAAAAATCCTGTGATGCTCTGAGGGAAGGGTGTTCCTTGGTGTGATTTTAGGCACAGCTCCTTGCTGTGCCCAAAATGCTCCTGGAAACAGTTACTACACTTGTTGGTAATTACTATCAAGATGGTATGGCCATTTCTGACCACTTCCTCATCTTCCTCTATTCTCATATCCCCCTCTCCTACTCCAAACTCCCCACCATCTTTTTCTGCCCTTGGAAAAAGCTCCCACTCCACCCTCCAAGTCCCTCACAAATGCCCTCTCATTATCGGACCTTCTCTCCCTCTGGGCATCCAACCTGCAACGATCCCAGTGTAGTTGTCAGGCTTCTAAACCAGCGCTTAAAGTCCATGTGCTAGACATGTTTATGTCAAAGATAGATGAAATCCGCCTGGCTGCCTCCTCCTGCACCCCTGTGTCCCCAAGCAGCCCCCCCCCCCAACCCCCATGTCTTCTATATCACCCATTCCTGCAGTGGCTTCCTACCACTACCCCCACCCTACACTTCTTTGCCCTTATTTCTCCTTCCTCCCTCTCAACTGCCATCATCGCCTGCTGCCTCGACCCCCTCCCCAGCCAGTTGCTGGTCACTCAACTCCCCCTCTTCTGCTCAGACACAGTCAACCAGTCCTTCTCCTTAGGCTCCGTCTCCCCCCTCACTCCCTCCCCCCCTCAAGTCCGCTGTCATCAGCCCCCTCCTCAAAGAAACATCCTACTGACAAACTATCAGCCATTTCTAGGCCAAAGTTCTGGATTGTGTTGTTGCAAATCAACTTCGTTCACACCTATCCCTCCACTCCCTACTCGACCCCTCCAGTCCAGATTCCGCTCTGCTACCGCACAGACAGCGCTCATTAAGGTCACAAATGACATCCTCTCTCTGTGACCAGGGCGCCCTCTGCCTCCTTCTCCTCCTGGGCCTCTCCGCTGCATTCAGCACAGTCGATCACGCCATCCTCCTCCATCGCCTCTCCTCCCACGTCCACCTCATTGGAACCTGGTTCGAGTCCTACTTAACCAACTGACATCACTTCATCTCCGCAAACAGGTCACCTGCGACATACCCTAAGGCTCCATCCTTGCCCCCTTCTTTTACCCTATTTACACGCTCCCTCTCAACAAAGTCATCCACAGACACAGGGTAAACTTCCACATGTATGCGGATGACACACAAATCTACTTTTCCTCCTCCACCTGCGACTCCAGGTTCGCTGATGTTCTGCCACCTTGTTTGTCAAACATCTAGGCCTGGATGAGTCCAAACTTCCTACAGCTGAACGTTGACAAGATACACGCCATACTCCTTGGCTGCCGTCAATGTCTTCTCTCCTGTGTCTCTGACCTCCTCAACCTCCCCGGCCTTTCCCTAAATCTTATGAACCTGTACATAACCTTGGTGTCAGGTTCAATCGCCAGCTGATCTTCCTTCGCCACATCCGATCCCTGACCAGGAAAACTTTCCTCCAACTCCACCGCATTGCCTGCCTCCGACCGAACCTCACCCCCAATGCAGCTGAGACCTTTGTCCACACTTTCATCATCTCCCACCTTGACTATTCCAACGCCCTCTTCGCTGCTCTCCCCAGCTCCACTATCCACAAAATCCAACCAATTCCAAACTCCAGCGCCTGTATATTCACCCGCTCTAAACACTGTCCCTCATCACACCAGTCCTCGCCAGACTCCACTGGCTCCCTATCACAGAACGTGTCGACTTCAAGATCCTCGCACTCATCTATAAAACCCTTCGTGCCCTGGCACCTCCCTGTCTTTGCAACCTTCTTACTCCCCACTCCACCACTATACTTGGCTGGCTTCAGCCTCCTGCTTGTCCCTTGTCCCCTTTCAGCCAGTACGGCCAAAACTTTGGAACTCAACCCCTCTACCTTCTCTACCTTGCCCCCTCCTTCCCCTCTTTTAGATCACGCCTAAAAACCTTCCTCTTCGACCGTGCTTGCGGTCACCTCCCTCCGGCTCGGCATCACTCTTAAGCGCTCCGAGACGCTACCCAGCGTGAAGCGCTCTGTATAAATGCAAGTTGTTGTTGTTGTTATACTACGACCTGCTTTGGTAAGACTGTGTACAAACACAGGTTCCTTCCCTCTGACCTGAATCAAACGGCACTGATGGGGAGTGGGAGCAGGGTCGGGTCTAGCTTTGATACAGTTCCAAGTATTAAAGGGGAAAACTTCTTTCACCGCTTTCAAAACTCTCTTAATAACTCACCTGTGACGGTGCCTCCGACTGCTCCCCTCCTCCCCGCTCGGCGATCCTCATCGTCTCTGTGAAGCTTTAGGACGTTCCCCCCCACCCCTGCGTGTAAAGGCAGCGTGTAAAGTGTACGGTATTGCATAGACAACTTACTTCCCTCTCCCACCCTCGCCCCCCCCCCACCACCACCCCCCGCTTCCCCCGCCCGCACCCCACGGTCCAGTCACTGGGGTAAAGTATCGTGGCTTTCCCTCCGGTTTAAATAAATAATAATAATTCGGTCACGACAATCCTTGACTGTTTGCGGGACGCCACTGTGCGGAATCGGCTGCCGCGTTTCACCTACAAGATACGCAGTCAACCACCCGCCACCACCCCCTTTGCAGTACACTCCGTGAAGCGCTTTGAGTGAGTGTGTGTGTGAGTATGTGTGTGAGTGAGTGAGTGAGTGAGTGTGTGTGTGTGTGAGTGAGTGAGTGAGTGTGTGTGAGTGAGTGTGTGTGTGAGTGAGTGTGTGTGTGTGAGTGTGTGTGTGTGTGAGTGAGTGAGTGAGTGAGTGAGTGAGTGCGTGTGTGTGTGAGTGAGTGAGTGAGTGAGTGAGTGAGTGAGTGTGTGTGTGAGTGAGTGAGTGTGTGAGTGTGTGTGTGTGTGAGTGAGTGAGTGAGTGAGTGTGTGTGAGTGAGTGAGTGTGTGAGTGAGTGAGTGAGTGTGTGAGTGTGTGTGTGTGTGAGTGAGTGAGTGAGTGTGTGTGTGTGTGAGTGAGTGAGTGTGTGAGTGTGTGTGTGTGTGAGTGTGTGAGTGAGTGTGTGAGTGAGTGTGTGTGTGAGTGAGTGAGTGAGTGAGTGAGTGTGCATGCATGTGAGTGAATGCGAGCTGCCGGCCAAATAACAGAGCAAAAGTCCTTTGAGTGAATTTAAAGAGACCGACCTGTGCGTGTCTGTGTGCGCTCCTGTGCACGACTCGCACTTGCCATTCATTCATTCATTGCCACCACCACCACCGCAGCCAGATCACATTCCCAAACTACTGGATGGATGGATCCTTGTCCTTAAGTGGTGCATTGTGAGGAGTGGCTATTACTGTGACACCGTCTCTCTCTCTTCTCTCTGGTACCTCTTTACCTGCAGTTAAATCAAGTGCCCAGTGCCTATTTTAGTCTGGCAGTGTGTGTGTGTGTGTGTGTGTGTGTGTGTGTGAGAGAGGGAGGGAGCGAGAGAGAGAGTAGGGACGATGCTGTGCTGTACAGACGCCTGCCTTGATTTGTCATAATGCAGAGATCACATCGCTGCTGCAGCAATGCAGCTATGGGAGAGAAAGGACAAAAGGGAAAGCGGGATTTCACTCCAGCCTGTCTCGCAAATGTCCACCTGTCTGTCAGATGATGGTCTGTACAAGGGTGGGTGACGCAGAGGCGTGTTAACACATCCCGCAATCATTGCTTTGGGAATCTGGGCTTTGATGGAGATTTGGGGGGAGGGAGGAGGAGGAGGGGAGAGGAGAGGAGGAGGAGGACGAGGAGGAGGAGGAGGGGGGGTGCTGTTCACAACCTGCCAATTGACTTCACTGACTGAGCTGCTACTGAGCGCTGTGGCACGTAAACTGGGGCAAGTGTTTACTTGCAGCACGTGTTGAACTGCAGCGTTTTCCTGTGGTCCTTTGTGCTCTAGACACAGACACACACACACCACACCACACACACCAGCGAGAGAGAGGGGGAGAGGGAGGGAGAGAGGGAGGGAGAGAGATGTGAGGGTTTGCCTTGAGATTCCTGAGCCAGGCATCCTTTCGATGGAGAGTGACATGCAAGGTATTGAATTCTTCCAGACTCTGTGCGAGAGTGAGTGAGAGTGAGAGAGAGAGAGAGACAAAGAGACAGAGAAAGAGATGTGTTTGTGTGTGAGTGTTGTGTGTGTATGTGTGTGTGTGTGACTGAGTTAGTGTGCGAGTGAGTCTGTGAGTGAGTGAGATAAAAGAAAGAAATAGAAAAAGAGTGAATATCCCTTTGTTAATGTCTGCAAAACTGTATTCCAACACACGTGTGTGGATGTGTGTTTACAGGAGTATATACGAATGTATGAGTGTGTGTATGATGCGTGTACATGAGTGTGTGTGTGTGAGTGTGTGAGTGCATGCACACACTCCCTAGCAGAGTGTGCCCCTCACACAGAGGTCTGTCCCAGCTCCTTGCTGTGGTTCGAAAAGTTTATTTGTGATAAGTTATTCCTTTTAATCCACGTTTAAAATAATTGTCAAATGAGCTGCGTTGTGATGATGTGTGTGGACTGAAACAGGAGAGAGAGATAGAGAGAGAGAGACATACTGGCAGAGCAGAGCGTACACAAGTGCGCTAAAGAAATCTTTGGCTTCAAATCTTATTGAGCGCACGTCTCGTGGAAGGAGTTTGGCTTGAGTTTGTGAATGATTCGAAGCGTCGTGTCCGTACGGGGCGGGCGGGCGGGCGGGCGCTGGGTGCCCAGTGCGGGCTGGTTCGCTAACTTTTGGCTACTTTCCGGCTGATGGCGAGACGGTGGTGCCTTTCGATCGCACGCAGAGTGCGTGCGGGGGGTCTGCTCGATAGCGAGCGATATCCAGCGTTTGTGCTGTAGACGTGTCCGGCGTGGCTCGCGCCACGTCACCACCGTGCCTGCCACAGCGCCAGCCGTCCTGGCAGTCGCTAATAATAATAATAATAATCACTTCTTCGAGACGTCTCAAAGCGCTTCACGGAATGTCCCGTAAAGTGAATTGGCTGTGTATTTTTTTGGGGGGGCGACGGGGCTATAAGTTGCGGCACGGAATGCCGGTGGGCGTCCTGTGGGACGGGTTTGGGGTGGGATGGGAACGAGGGTCCCGAGGCTCCGGCCGGTGTCGTAAGGAAGGCAAGCAAAGAGTTGCTGTTAAAACCCGCACGGTTTGGCTTTGGTGCCGTCGGGAGCCGGTGCGGAGCCCGGCAAAGCATTCCCGTTTGAAACCCGGATTGATAAGTGCCAGAGGCTCTCGCGAGCTCCATACAACCTGCCTTTCCCGCGCTCTGGGTAAGGGCTCGATGCTGTTTAAGACGCTCTCTCTCTCTGTTGCGCGCGCTCTCTCTGTCTCTGTCTCTGTCTCTGCTTTGTTGCCCAGTGCAGCCTCGCCTCATTGTGCAGATCCAGCTGCTCTTTTCCTCCTCCTAAAAAGGTTCCGCAGGTTCCTTTTTGGTCACAGTTTCTATAGGGATAATTTGCCCCCTCCCCTTTTTTGTCCCTCGCCCCGTCTCGTTTGTGCTATGACCGCTCCGTCTCATGTAAGTGCGTGTACGTATGTGCGTGCGCGCTCGCGCGTGTGTGTGCGCGTGTACGCGTCCGTCCGTGCATGTGTGGGACGCTGTATAAATGCAAGTTGTTGTTGTGTGTGTTTTCTCGTCACCTGGAATCTCTTCACTCAAAAAAAACTTCTGGATTTGAGCCCTCATTTCGTGACGTGTTGACTACACAGTCCAGCAGTGGTGGGGGGGGTGATGTGGCGGTGCCCCCCCAACCACCACCAACCTTAGGCTCGCGCACTCCCCCCAACGCACTTGCTACGCATGAAGCTACCTGGGGAACTGTAGTTGCTGTGTGTGACCAGGACACTGAGCGGAGGAGGTTTGCTGGTCAATAAACAGATGCTAAGCTGTGGCTGACCTGTTGTTCTCAGACATATCGTATTATCACCATCTGAGAAACAAATGGGGGGGCGGTGGATAAACATCTGACATGTCTCCGTGCGCTTTAACGGCGATTGCGCTCCAGTGCAGTGACTGTTTTCCGAAGCCAAAGGCGGCAGCCATTCTGCGGACAGAGGAGGGAGACACAGAGACGCTCGGGGAAATCGGAGGGGGGTTAAGAGGTGTGGAGGAAGGGCAGGGAAGTGGGATTTTAAAGAGCCTCCGTGATACATAAACCCGGCTGAAAGGGCGCCTGCTTTTCCTGTGTTTGTGTCAGTGTGAGCGGTTGCTGTGTTAGTCTTGGGTGTATTTGCCAGCGATTGAGGAGAGTCTTTTGATGCGATTCCCACCCGGGAGTTTGCAAAGACATCGACTGCGTTGGGGGAGGCTGGTGAGTGTAGGACATTGCCCCTTTAAACGGAGTCAGAGGCCAGCGTTGTGGCGGGGGGAGCGATTGGGAAAGAGCTGCGGTGGTGTTTTGAGTTGGGGAACGGGAGCCAGTGATTAATCTTTTTCCTCCAGCTCCCCTGGAGTCCGATCTGAAGTTTCTCTGCCAACAGTGAGGGGGAATATTTCATGTGTTTGATGTAGTGGCGGCAGATCAGTCAGTCCCTTTCGAAGCAGCAACAGCAGTCTGTTCGGCTCATCTGTCTGGAGCAGTGAGTGCGGAGTGATCCAAAGTGGAGTTAATTAAACACGGATTATTTGTGCTGGGCTAATTTGACTGTTGTTCCGAGCAGTCAGAGGGAATGTATCGGGGCCATTTATACAGAGCTTCGCACGTGTTTGGGAGACGCAGAGCTTGTGTTTATACAGACCCTTGGCTCGGAATGTCTCTAAGAGCACTTCACAGCGATCGCTCTCGAGTTGTGACCTCTTCCCAAGAGACGAGCCACGCCACCATTTTGCGCACATTAAAGTCCGGCCGTGAGCGGAAGCGGTGGTTTTTCTGGTGGATCGTTGGTCGGGTTCCCCCTGTTTATAACAGCTTCGCGGGCTCTTTGATGCCCACGTGAACAGGAAGAGGGGACCCCGGTCTAATGTCTTCACCTGAAGAACAGCGCCTCTGTCAACCTGTTGTATTGGGGAGGGTCTCAAGTCTAGATGTGGGGCTCGAACCCACAACCTTCTGAGCCGGAGCTGAGAGAGCTACTGACTGTGCCACTCATGCGGTGACCTTATTCCGACTGTCAGGGGTTGTCCAGGTAGAGATTGGAAACTGGATGGTTCAGAGATGGACGCACACGATTCCACACTTGTGTTGGGGGGTGGAGGGGGGGGGGGGGGGTGTGGTGGGGGGGGGGGACTGGGAGTGGGGGGGGTTGGGGGGAGAAAACTCTCCAGATATTCTTGGAAGAAAGGAATTCGCTCGCAGAACTCTGCGCTGACATCACCGCTCTGAGCAACCGTCCGAGAGAGAGATAACAGGAGACGAGCGATCAGGCATTCTCGCTCTCTCTTTCTCTCCTTCTTTCTCTCTCCGCTGTCGGACGGAATCTGTTTGTGCTTCACGAGTGATGGCTTAACCTCCCCTCTGGCACGATCGCACATATTTTCCACTCCTCCCTCGCCTTCCCCCACCCTCCGCCCCCCCGCCTCAGCCCCCATCATTCATTTTGTTTAAACTCTCGCGTCTCGTAACATAGTTTTGCTGAAATCAGAGGCCAGGGAGAGAGAGAGAGAGCGAAAGAGAGAACAACTTGATTTTCACAGCACCTCAGAGCGCCTCGCAAGTCACCTGCACAAGCTGTATTAATCGACAACAAGGCTGGCATTTGCGCACAGCAATGTCCCGCTGGTGGCATCGGGCACAGACTGGCACAGTGCCAGCCTTTGATCAGACCTTGTAAATCCTGTCGACGTCAGACACTTCAGTGTTGTGCTGAGGGGAGCGCCGCGTTCTCAGAGACGCTATCTTTCGGAGGAGACATAAACCGATTGAGGTCCCATCTTGTGCCTGTTCGGGCAAAGTGTCTCCCTGTCCTGGGCAACAGTCACCCAGATAAAATTGCTCATTAACTCTGTTGCTGTTTGCGTGCAAATTGGCTGCTGCCTTTACCCACAAACACAGTCACTGCACTTGACAGCAATTCCCTGTGAAGAATCCTGTCGGCTTTAAACGATTCCATCTGGGGTCGCGCTCCCGGTAACCTGCCCTCTGACGATACAAAATGACTTGAATGTACTGGTGGGTGTGTATACTGACGCTCCAGGGCCCCGCGGGAAGGGCGCTGTCTAAATGCAAGTTGTCGTTGTGTGTGTTTGTACGTGGAAGAGTGAATGTGTCTGAGTGCACAAGAGTGAATGTGTTTTGCGCGCGAAAGCATCAGTGTGGTTTGCGCGCGCGTGTGAGTAACCGTGCGCGCGTGTAAGCGTGCGTAAGCATGCGCGGGCGTGCGCAGGTGTGAGTGCATCCAGCTGCCGAGGGTACGATGCCGGCAGATGTGTTTGCTGACTGCTCTGCAGTGAGGCTGGTAAACAGGCCGAGGGGAACCATTACATCATCAGCACTGCAGTACAGCCACGAACAAAGGCTTGTCAGCCGCAGTACAAGCCTCTCCCCCCCACCCCCCAACGCCTGTCCAGGTCACAGCCTCGCTCGTCCCCCCCCCCCCGTCCCCCGGCATTAACAACCCCCACCTGTCACCCGATCACAACCTCCTCCTGCCTCCCCCCCCCCCCCTGTCGGTCTGCTTGCCTTCCAGTCCACCTCTTGACTGAGCTTTCGAGCCGTTGTTATTGTGGAGAATATTAACGTAACAGCCAGACGAGCCGAGTGGGCGATGGGTCACACTGTACCACAAGGGGATTGGCTGGTGTAGTGCATCTGTGCAATAATACCGCACGGTACACACACACACACACACGCGCGCGCAGGGCGGTCAACTGAGCTCGGTGGGTCGTGTCGTTAACACACAGACCCATCTAACCTCGCATCAGGCCCAAGTAAAGCAGCGTCCGTCCTTTGTGATTGCGTCTTAACCTGACAGCAATACCACATGGTCTCTCAATTCGCTGGACTTCTAATAGATTTCTTCACGAGAAATGCGCGGTTATCGAGTTTCTACGGGAGCGAATGCACAGAGCACAGCGTTCCTCCGCACTCGCGGTCGAGGTGGTTTTTTTTGCACACCTTTCTTATGAAGAAATCTGTTAAGGAATCCCGCAGTTTAGACCCCAGTACTGTTGCTTGTGAGTCGAGGCTGTTTGGTGGCTGGGATAGAGAAATGAAAGAGATGCAGATTGACTCATCGCTCGCTGTATCCGAACAGAAGCGGCAATAATACAATTATTAATAATAATAACTCCCAGTACAGCGCTTTAATCATGCTAATGGAACCATTTTTTTGAAAAAAAGCATTGCAAAGCATATACCGCAAAGCATCGTGACTTTGAGTTTTACTAATAATTATAATCCCTGCGTTCGATTTTGCTCCTTATCGCCTGGTTGAGACGTCTCAAAGCGCCTGAGGCAATAAAGGGGATGTGCTGTGCGTGTTTTTGTGGGCGAAAATACACGGGAATTTGTAGGCGAACGAAGCAGGCGGGACCAGGCTGGGTCAGGCGTAGGGCCAGCGAGCAGCCGGGCTCGGGAAGGCTTCAGCGGGAGTGCGTGAAGGGGTTAATGCGTGGGACTTGCACTGTACTGTACCTCTCTCAGTGTCCGCTGCAGTCTGGCAGTGCTGCAGGCAGGAACTTTGCAGTCAGCTGCAGTGGGTGGGGTCTGTCCGGCCTGTCACTCAATTGGGGGGTGGGGGGGGGGAAGGGGAGGAGGGGGTGGGGCAGAGGGATGAGGGTTGGGGGCGCGGGGGGGGGGGGTTTAGGGGGAACGTGGTGGTCAGATCCTCATCCTGGTTTAAAAGTACCAATGAGAAATGGTCCAATTTACGGTGTTTCTCGATGAGGAACGTGCAATTGGAACATTTCAGGCGTTTGAGGCCTGAAATTCCGACCCGTCACAGCATATGCGCAATTCTCCGCGTCTACACAACTCGCAAAATAGACCCCCTGCGTTTACACATAGTTTACACGTGGCTGTAAGGTGGTTCTTCAGAACGCACACAGGGATTGGCTGTCCTGTACTAACGTGTGTTTTGCCCCCTCTTTCCTCTTCGAATGGGCCTCGTTAAGAAAAAAACTACGCAATTCTTAAGCGCTCCGAGACGTAATCCCGTGTGAAGGCGTTGAGCAAATAAATGCAAGCTGTTGTTGTTGTTGTTGTTGTGTAGTCCTGGTATTAACTTTAACTTGTGTTGACCTGATGCCTCTCTTGTTTCCTAGACAACCAGTTCAGGATGTCTATCCTGGACCGTTTGGAACAGATGGAGCGACGGATGGCAGAGATGGGCTCCCACCAGCACCATCATCAGACCAGCGGTGGGGGGCTGGGAGGGGGCAACGGAGGAGCGGGAGGAGCTACCAGCCAGGGCCAGGTAGGATACACTAAGAGTTTAAGCCTTTGTTTTTGTTCCCCTTCTACTGTAAGTCGGCTCCAGGAGTTTAAAATCCTTGTCCTCGCCTTTACAGCCCTCCAGATCTTGCTCCGTCCTACCTCTGTGACTTCCCAAAATCCTACCAACTTGTCCACACCCTCTGCTCAGGCAGGCACTGGCCTTATCCACATCCCCCCCATCCCTGTTGCCCTCTACAACAACAAATTATACTTGTAAAGTGCCCTTCACTTCGGAAAGACCTCCCAGGGTGCTCTACCCGTGTTGACCCCAGCCTCCAGCGCGGATGCAAACCCTTGACTGTCCATCGCCTTGGGAACGTCTTCCCAATGTGAAAGGCGCTGTGTAAATGCAATTCGTTGTTGTTGTTGTCGATTGAGCTCCAGTCCCTCTCCCATCAACATCTCTCTCTCTCTGTGTGATGCCTCTCTGTAGGGCTCTTCCAGGGCAGCGAGCTGTTCCTTCGAGGACCGTGTTGTGGTGGTGTGCGAGAAGATGATGAGCCGAGCGTGTTGGCTCAAGTCCAAGCAACTCATCCATTCCAAGACCTTCCGGGGAATGACGCTGTTACACTTGGCGGCCGCTCAGGGCTACGCCACGCTCATCCAGACGCTCATCAAATGGCGGTACAGAGCAGCGGAGGAGCATGGGGGTGGGGGTGGGGGGGAGGAGAGGGTATTATTTAATTGATAAGATTGTTCCATATACGGACTCCAATCACGTGCAGAAAGGATGGGCAGTGAACAAGTGGCTGCATTTCACTTTTTTTTATAATTAAAATTAATTCCTGTTCAAACTGTAGGACAAGCAGCCTGGTTAGGGGGGGATGGGGGGGCGAGGGAGGGTTGAAATGGGAATGTGACAGCGAGTGAGGTTCCCAGGACTGAGCTGTGCACAAAACGCCTGAATGTGGGCCAAGCCAGAGGCCCGAAATTCCACCCGGTCATAACCTGCAGGATTCTTCCCCCCCCCTCCACCCCCCCCCCCACACACACACGCACACCCCGTCCGGCATAAAATTGTGGGTAACTGCCTTCCAAATGAAGTGCGGTTTGGGGGAATTTGCCACCACCCTGAACGATTCAGTGCCACTTGGCCTCGAAACTCTGCAATACTCCTTTTTTAATCCTTCACATTGCTCCCTCCTTCCCCACATTCAGATCGCTTCTGAAGACCTTCCTCTTCGACCGTGATGACCTTCTGTCACCTCCATCCGGCTCAGCGCCAGGCTCCGCCGCTGTCGAGCGCTCCGGGACACTACCCTGCGTGATGGGGTGGGGGTGGGGCGGGCGGGGGGGGGGGAGGGGGCTGTGTAAATGCAAGTTGTTGTTGTTGATCTTGAATTTGAAGACCAAACAGACCACGGCTCGGTGGAATGTCAGTCAACCAGAGCTCGATAAGGTGGATGCTGATGGACTGTATTGATCGAGCCTCAGTAGCGATTCATTGGTGGTGAATTTCACAGCCAACGAGCAATTCTGAATGGGAAAAAAAAAACTCCCTCTGACCTCAGCCCTTCTGGTTGCTGACGTGCTTCTCCTCTGGCAGTGACCCCTGACCCTCTTTTACAGGGCGAAACACGCAGACAGTATTGACTTGGAGCTGGAGGTCGATCCATTGAACGTGGATCATTTCTCCTGCACACCTCTGGTACGTAAAAGACTGCGCTCGCCTTCAAACCAGTCAAGATTCTCTCTGCACCCTGTCTCACTCCACCGCTGCTCCTTCCCTTTCATCACTAGAGTCATTTGGATACAATACAGTACTGAACAGTCGGGGATTAAGATGATCTTAAATCATATTCTTCTTCAATACCCACCTTAAAATCGCCCCATTAGAACGAGAGCTGTTTCTTAAATGATCCCGGCCTCCCAGCCTCGACCCCCCCCCACACCACACACCCCCCCACCACACCCCACCCCCCGATAGCCCCATTCACGTCATTAATGATCCTCTTTCTAAAGAAATACTTCCTGATGTCTGTTCCGAAACTGTCTTTTGTGACGAGAGTCTAATAAGCGACGATTTTCTAACAGGACGCCTTGCTTCCTTAATCTGAGTGTCGCGTGCAGGACCTGTCTGCCGCAGATGAGCTGCCGCACTTGACTGCATCACAGTAATTGTCACAACATTTTTTTTGTGGTGGGGGTCACTCAATCCATGACCGTGGAACACCGCTGTGTGCATTTGGCTGCTGCGTTTTGCCCGCAAAATACACAGTCAATCCACTTTACAGTGTGTCCCGTGAAGCGCTTTTGAGACGTCGCGACGACGTGATAAGGAGCCGTATCGAATGCAGGGATTGTTATGATTATTGTACTCATATGTTTTTCTAATAAATCCGCGTGAGCTGTGAAAGGTATGCGATTCCGTGACTGTGTTTTTTTTCGTGGGCGGCCTCCGTTTCTTCTCCCCAGATGTGGGCCTGTGCGTTGGGGCACACCGAGGCAGCTGTGGTGCTTTACAAATGGGATCATCGAGCCCTCTCCATCCCAGACTCGCTGGGCCGCCTGCCCCTGGCCATCGCTCGATCCCGGGGCCACGTGAAGCTGGCCGAGTACCTGGAGGAGCTGCAGAGGGAGGAGGAGCCCCAGCTCGCCGGCCTGCCCCAGACCCCCAGCATGGGCTGCTCACCCTCCTCACAGCCCGCCACTGACTCCTGGATCGCACAGTGGAATAGCGGCAGTAACAGCAATCAGGAGGCCCAGAAGGGTCTCAGTACATCTCCGACCACAGGTACAGGTACAGCTATTGTGGACCATGTTTAACCCATGCTCCAGCCCAACGTTGGCTGTGTGTGTGTGTCACATTGTCGGAGATGCCATCATCGGGGCGAGACATTAAACCAAGCTTCCCATCTGTGCCAATTGAGATGGATGTTAAAGATCCCGCGATGCTATTTGAAAGGAGAAGATGGTTTCTCTCTCCCGGTGTCCCGGCCAGCAATCCCCCACAGATAAAACCGTTCCAAGTTTCCATACTCCACACGCCTCTGTTTACCTAACAGTAGGAATCCAGTTGTTAGTCGATTGGCGGGTCGCTTTCCAGGGGTGATAATCCCTTCAAGAAACAAAAATGCGGTCATTCAATCCACGACTGTTTGTGGGTACGCCGCTGTGCGCAATCGGCTGCCGTGTTTCGCCCCCAAAATACACAGTCAATCCACTTCACAATATGTTCTGCGAAGCGCTCTGAGACGTCTCGAAGACGTGATGAGGCTCTGTATCAAATGCAAGATTTGTTATTGTCATTAAATATCGTTATTCCGATGTCCTGACTGATGCGCGTTTCCTTCGGCAGATCTGAGGAGACCGCGCTCGGAATCTTCGCAGTACGCCGGCAACGACAGCCAAAAGGACCTCCCGGCTTCCAAGAAGCACAAGCTGAACTCTGAACACATCCACCCCCGACACCAGAAGCCCTCGCCCCAGCCCCAGCCCCAGTCCCCGCCCGGTTGTCTAGAGCAGAAAGTGACCCCGAAGCTGAGCTCCAGCCCCAAGCAACCCAGCCCCGAGGCCACCGATCCCGAGACGGAGAGGAGATGCCCCAGGGAAGGCTCCCCACGCCTCCCTGAATTTCCGGCCCCCCTGTCGGCCACGTGTCGGAACGTGGGGAACCAGACCAGTCTGAAGGCCGCGCCCAAAGAGATCTACGTGACGGTGGCGGCTCAGACGGCGCCGGGTCAGCCCGCGGCCATCAAGAAGGTCTCGGGCCTGAGCGCGGGCTCCATCGCGCACAGGTTACGGCAGAAGCAGGACATCAGCGTCCTGATGTTAACGGAGAGGGAGATCGCCAATGCTCAGCTCCTGGCCTACAAGGAAAACCTAGAGAACGAACACTGCCTGCAGCACATGGACGATCTGCAAGTATGTTACACGCGTGCGTGTGTGTGTGTGTGTCCTCAGTACTGTCACACATGTGTGTCCTTAGTGCCTTCACATGTGTCTTCTCTGAGTTGCACTCTGTGTTCTGTGTGTCCCGAATCCGTGAACCACAAGGCAAATATCTGATGATATTCTGCGCTCCGCTGGTGACAGATGTGAGCGCCGGGAAATGGAAGCTTCCTATTCCTGGCACCGGGTGCCAGCATTCAGCATTCCCAGGTCAGCGACAGTGTAAAGCTCCCTCTGCACTGTCCATCCACACTCCCAGATTACAGACAGAGTAATCTCTCTGCAAGGGACAGCTATTAACTTGGTGCAATTTTTCTCCACTGGTGTGTTAATGCGCCATGTGTCAACCGTGTGTAAACGCAGCGTTCCCAAGTGTACAGAATTACAGGTGCTCTTAATTGTGTAATTACACTGAAGCAATCTACGCATAGTTTGCACGGCTTGTGTGACAGTGCGAGAGTGCGATAGAGGAGGTGAGGCAGAGCCAGTGACTGTCCCCTTGTCTGTGTTTCAGGTGAACATGATGACCCTGGCTGAGCAGATCATTGAAGCAACTCCAGACAGGATCAAGCGGGAAAACTTCATCCCGATGGAATCTGCGTTGAGCGAGCGTGCGGACAATCCCGGTGGGAACATCACCATGAGCTGGCTGGCTAGTTACCTGGCAGACGTCGACCATTTACCCAGCTTCTCTCAGCTCCGGTTAGCAGCCTCGGGAATTGGTAAACCACGTGTGGGAGGCGGGGGTGGTGGAGGGGGGGGATGTGGGGAGCGAGATAGTTAACCCTCCATTCTGTCCATAGCCTGAGCCAGGCTGGTGTTAAATGATTCTTTTCTCATGGATGGGGTCAGGTTGTGTGTGTGTGGGGGGGGGGGGGGTGGGGGTGGGGGGTGGTTGTCTGGGTGATATCGGGAAGGTTCCCAGGGCAAGGCATTAACTTAACTTACTGTATCTTAGTGATTAGAGCAATTCGCTCTCCAGTCTACTCTGTGAAGCGCTTTGAGACGTCTCAAAGACGTGATAAGGCGCTATATCAACCGCAAGGATTAGTATTATTATTATTATTATTATTAAACCCAGTCCTGTTTGCTGGTTACAGATCCCTGTATAGTGAACCACTGACTCCTCCTTCCAACACCAGCCAAAGCCCTGCCGCATCTCCGATCAGCGAGGTTAGTTTCGAGAAACCCACTCTCCCATCAGCAGCAGATTGGTCTGAGTTCCTGAACGTGTCGACCAGAGAGAGGATGGAGCGGGACTTTGCCCAGCTGACGCTGTCAGACCATGAACAGAGAGAGCTGTACGAGGCTGCCAAACTGGTGCAGATTGCTTTCCGCAAATACAAGGTTAGAAGCGGCCGCTTGGCCATTCTTCAGCCTTTCGCCAGCACTGGTGGGAAGCGCTCGGAGACCGTCATGAAGACCTTCCTCTTCGACCGTGCTTACGGTCATCTCCCTCGCCTCCCTCCCAACCCCCATCTCCCCCATGACCCCTACGGTGTCGTGCTCCGCCACTGCCAAGCGCTCTGGGACGCCACCCTGCGTGAGGGTCGCTATATAAATGCAAGTTGTTGTTGTGGTGGTGGTCACCCCATGTGAAAGCCTGTTGTTAGGATTCAGTCCCGAACCTCGATGTCCTCCCCAACCACATGGATCCCAGCAACGAACCCGTTTCCCGTCCTAATACTTGGATGTTACAATTGTATTTATAATATTATAACGGAGTTGAAGTACAGATCAGTCGTGATCTCTAATAGAATAGATTGCGTTAAGGAAACGGTGCGTTTCAACCCCCCCCCTCACCCCCCACCACCTCACCCCACTCCGACCCTCTCCCGTAACGTCCCAGCATCGGCTCTCGACCAGGGTGGAAGTGGGAACGCCGGAGGCTGTGGTCAGGGTGGGGGGAAAGAGCGTACGAATCCTCGTTGAGCTGCCTGAGGTCCGAGCACCGGGCCAGGCCCTCCGTTGCGTCGGGTTGTGGCCGACGTGTCAGTTCCACCACAAACCCCCCCCCGCCGCTGATTGAAACTCTCTCGCTCACAGGGTCATCCTTTCAAAGAGCAGCAGGACATGGCAGCTGCCGTCATTCAACGCTGCTACAGGAAGTACAAACAGGTAACTAAAAACGAGCCGTTCGCGGCTCACGCGCTCGACCCCGAGTCCGAAGGCTGAAACGGGTTCCAAACTAAGAGGGAACGGGAGATTTTTAATGGTAAATTTGACCGGGGAAAGGTGGAAGCCAAAGGGGTTAACTGCTGTCACAGGTTCAGAGATCGGAGATGCCTCCAGTACTGACTCTAACTCTACTGTGTTCACTTTACAAGCTTACGTGGATCGCCTTGAAGGTAATAGAATGACAAAGCATTGACATTCTGATCTCACACACGTTCTGTTTGTTTGTTTCCGGTTGTTATGTTTCACGAACGTTCGATTGGCGGGGCCTTTTATTCATCCTTATAGTGCCAGCCCCAACTCAGTCACTCTCTCTGCCTCCGAGTCAGGCGGTTGTGGGTTCTAGCCACCCCCTCCCCTCCTCCCCGCCCGCCCACCCTGACTGGGTCTTTCAGCTGACAGTGCAGGCTGACACTATGGCGTAGTGCTGCGTGTGGTGAGGTGGGTGGATGCTGCATTGTCAGAGACGTCACCCTTGGGTTGAGACTAAGGTCCCCACAGCTGCGCCCGTTCAGGATCAACGTTAAAGATCCCGCGACACTGTTGGAAAAGAGAAGAGGGTTTCTCTCTCCCTGTGTCCTGGCCAACAACAATCCCCGAGATCAGTTGGTCATTCGCAGCCGTTTGTGGGACTTTACCGCGTGCAAAATGACTTACACAAAAAACAGTCACTACACTTGAGAGCAATTCCCAACTGAGCATATGTCTGACGTCGCGGGCACTGATTATTATCAGTAGTGTTATTTGTTACGGAACTGGCTCAGGCTGACATTATTACTGTTAGTACTATTATTGCTAGTGCTATTACTATTATTATTGGCTGCCCCGTCCACTTCTCTCCCCCCTACCCCCCCAACCCCCACCCCAACCCACCGCTTGCTCACTCCCGGCCCCGTCACTCCTCTCTCCCTCTGGCTCTTTGCAGTATGCACTTTACAAAAAGATGACGCAGGCCGCCATCCTGATCCAGAGTAAGTTCCGCAGCTATTCCGAGCAGAAGAGGTTCCGGCAGAGCCGCCGAGCCGCAGTGCTGATCCAGCAATATTACCGGAGTTACAAAGGGTACGGCAAACTCAGGCAAAAACACCGGAGCGCCACCACAGTTCAACAGAAACTCAGGTGAGAGCTCAGCAAGCTGCGCCGAGCTGCACGTCTTGCACACACACACACACGCACACACACAGTCTCTCGCTCTCACACACACACAGTCTCTCTCATGCGCACACGCGCACAGAGTCGCTCACGTACACAGTTGCTCAAACACAAACACACACACACAATCAGTCTCTCACTGTCTCACACACACACACACAGTCTCACGCGCGCGCACACACAGTTGCTCACACGAACACACACAGACGCTCACACACACATAATCTCTCACACACACACGATCTCGTGCTCACACACACACACACAATCTCTCGCTCTCTTTACACACACACACACAATCTCTCGCGCTCACACACACATAATCTCTCACTCTCACATACACACACAATTTCTCGCTCTCTTACACACACACAATCTCTCGCTCTCACACACACACACAATCTCTCGCTCTCTTTACACACACACACACAATCTCTCGCGCTCACACACACATAATCTCTCACTCTCACATACACACACAATTTCTCGCTCTTACACACACACAATCTCTCGCTCTCATACACACACACACAATCTCTCGCTCTCTCTCACACACACACACAATCTCTCTCTCACACACACAAACACAATCTCTCGCTCTCACACACACACACACAGTCCCTCGCTCAGTTGGAGGTTTAACTGAGGTCCTGTCTGCCTGTTCAGGTGGGAGTTGAGGCATAGGATCATAGAATCCTACAGCACAGAAGGAGGCCATTCAGCCCATCATGCCTGTGCAGGCTCAAAGAGCTATCCAGTTAATCCCACTCTCCTGTTGTGATGAGGCGCTATATCAAATGCAAGGATTATTATTGTAAATCTAATGAATGCATTGCTGGGGGACAGTGGGGGGGAGAAGGGATGGTGAGAGGGAAATGCAGCTGTATAGAGGCGCTCTGACTGTGTCTCCTTTCCGGCTGGTTTGTTCAGAAGCAGTCTGCTGACCAAGAGACAGGATCAAGCAGCACGGAAAATTATGAGGTTTCTTCGCCGCTGCCGCCACAGGTAAGGGGTCAGAGTCTTTAACAGAGTGAAGTTCCGTGTCTCTCCTTGTCGGCTTTGTGTCGGTCAAAGAGAAAAGATAATTTTGTAACTTTAAAACAACGTAAATCTGTGGTTTTCGTGCTGTGTGTGTGTGTGTGGAGAGGGAGTTAACATTGTGTGTATGTGTGTTTATGTGGGGGTGGGGGGTTACATTGGGTGTGTGTTTCGTTTTGCACACTCCGAGAGTTCTCCACGTTCTGTGTGTGGCTCGTGCCCACGTCCTCCTGGGTCTGCGTTTCCAACCTAAGCCTCGACCTGCCGGACCGTTCGTTCGTCTTTCGGTTTAAGAATTGCGGGAATTTCGTCTTAATTTCTAAGCGACTTTTCCCGAAGTTCTTCGAAATAAGAGAGGCGACGGGCAGGCTGGGCAAGAGCGCGAGACGCTGCCACAGCGCTGAACTGTGTAAAATAATGACGAGGACGTGGGCTGAGAGCGGGTGGAATTTCAGGCCGTGTATTCCCCCCTCCACACACAAACACACACACACACACACAACACACCAACACGCACACACTCCTTGTTTAAAGTGTGTCTATTAAAGGAAGGCTGAACTCTTACTCCCTTCTCTCCGTTTCAGTCCTGGGATTCTTTCCCTGTTCCTCTCCCCACCTCCATCTTTTTTATATAAGATGTTGAGTTCTTTAAGTGTGAAGAAATACTCGTTTGGGGCCTTGACGTTTGCGGCTTGACAGTTCCTTGTGCCAGGTGTGCAGACGGCCATCACATTACGCGAGGGTTGCTGTTGGGGAGTGAGAGATCTGGCTGATGGCCTGGCTGAAGCCTTAGGAAACCTTGTAACCAGCTGCTAGTTAACCTGTGATAGAATCTGAGCACGCGCACTTAACTTGTGGAGCCCCGTAGCGTAGTGGTTAGCGCTCTCGCCTCGCAAGCGAGAGGACCCCAGTTTCAAGTCCTGGCCAGGGCGAAACCTCAGGCAAGTTTCTTTCCTCCACACGCCTCGGTTTACCCAGCAGTAAGTAGGAACCTGGTTGTTAGTCGATTGGAGGATCGCATTCCGGAGGCAATAATCCCCTGAAAAAGAAAATTTGGTCACTCAATCCACAACTGTTTGTGGGACGCCGCCACTGTGCGCAATCGACTGCCGCGTTTCGCCCACAAAATACACAGTCAAACCACTTTGCAGTATATTCTGTGCAGCGCTTTGTGACGTCTCAACGACGCGATAAGGCACTATATATCAAGTGGAAGGATTATTATTGTTAAGTAGCTACTGACTGCCGAAGGGCAAAAGATTACATTTATGCCAGGTCGGGCTAGTAGGAAATGGAGTCTTATTGTAAGTATTGAAAGTTGCCTTTGGTCTGATATCTGATGGTGTGTTTGGTTTGCTAATGGCTGTTTGGTATTGTTTTGCTGTCTAAAGCCCCCTGGTGGATCATAGACTGTACAAAAGGGTGAGTGTGGCGTCTGCTGAACCAGCTTATCTCTCTCTCTCTCTCTGTCTCTCTCTCTCTGTCTCTCCCTCTCTCTCTCTCTGCTTGATGCCTGCTTGCATGGAGACTGCAGCCTAACCTGCCAACTCTTCACGTTTGTCGCCTAAAAAAATAAGCTAACACTTGGACACGATACTAACAAATCTGCTTCTTAAAGATACAGTTTTCTTTTTTTCCTTTTTTTTCTCGGGACAAAAACTTTTCTTTTTGAATTACGATCTGAGAAAAATCTATGTATAACGAAGGAACGACTTGCGCGATGCATGACCCGGAATGACACTTGAATTGAATTGTGGGATGCTTGGTGTACCGTCTCACCTCCGGGGAGGAAGCAGTGGGATGAAGGGTTGACCTGGATTTAGGCTGGCTCATGGGATTTAACACCAAGGCTCACAGGAACTCAGAAACTGACCACCCCCCCCCCCCCCACCACCACCAAAAAAAAATCAACCCAAGAGTTGGGCGGTGGCAATGGGGTAACATTTTGTGGATTTTTCGCCCACAAAACACACAAGTCGATTCACTTTACAATATATTCTGCGAAGCCTTTTGAAAACATCTCGCTTTGATAAGGCACTGTGTCAAATGCAAGGATTATTATTCTTATAAACTATTTCGCAGCACTCAACCCATCATGCCTGTGCCAGCTTTGAGCGAGAGAGAGCTGCCTGCCAAGTCTCGCTCCCCTTTTTTTTTAACCCCCTCACACCATTTACAAATATATCTCCCGTACCCTTGTAGTAAAAGCAGAACAGAATTCTGATGCAGCCAGTGGTTTTTTTTCATCAGGGCGGGTTCCATGTCCTAACAACACTCCGTGTGTGTGTACAAAAAAAAAGCTTTTCACCTCCCCCGTTTGGCCGAGCGATGGCAACCAATTGCCCGAACTGTGTAACACTTGTCCACAAGTCTTCCCTTTCTCCTGTACCCTATTGCCTTTAGAAACCCGAGCTTGACCTTGCACAACACCTCATTCCAATAGTCATGGAATTATTTGAGGTCAGCATTGTTAAGGTCATGCGGCAGCCTCGCTCTGTCGCTCACACACTGTAGGTAAAATCACTTAATGCTAATGAAAGTCTCAGCCGAGGTCAGATTTCACAGCAGAAAATTGCCCATAACTTGACACCAGGCCTCTTGGCTCCGTATGTTATGGGGAGAGAGCGTTCCTCTGACAGAGTCCGTGGTCTTGTCCGTACAGCTGATATCGGGGCCTAATTTGCGATATTTACAAAGCATGGGTAAATAGCAAATCCCGGATGGGTCGGAGCTGAGCTTCTGGAACGACCCTGGCATCACGGAAGTGGAAGCCTGGCTCGGCGTTCCCGGGAATTCGCAATTTACACTTCCTTTAGCCAATACCACAAACCCAAACCGTAGAAATCTACAGCCGATAGGACAGCACCCAACTCTTTACAGCAGCTCAGTCTTTGCTCCTCAATGTTCGACCCCAAGATTTTCTTTTGACCTTGAGTTTGGTCCAATCTTCACTATTGTGTTAAACAGCTGGCGTTTCTAAGTTCACAAAGGGCTTCGGGTTGATTCCCATGAGCTGACATGTAGGGGCATCTTTCTGATTACCTGTGCCCAGGTACCAGAGCGAGCAGGGACACACAAAGCCGTGGATTGATGGATTGCCGAGTTTGGAACGACTGCATGTGTGCATATGGCTGATGTCACAGGCGCAAACTAAAAGGCTGATGAGTGCGAATACTTAAAGCTGCAAGATATTATAGCAACCACACACAGCAGGGTTCCTCCCAGCAGGTGCTGATAGCAACCAAATGGGGGTCCGCAATTGTCCCTGTCCTGTGCCAGGAGTATTATCTTTGATGGGCAGCGTGTTCCCTCACACGCCCGGGTCTAATTCGCAAGGTTTCTTGACGGATTTCTTAAGGAACGTGCAGTTATCAAGACTGCGATATTTCTAAACAAGAAATGTGTGGCTCTGGAATTTCTGATAACTTGCGATGTTGCTTGGTGGATTTCTCAATAAGAAACACGCAGTTAAATTTGTGGATCAGGACTTGCAGAGCAAATGACACCACACACACACACGCGCACACACACAGAGTCACTGTAAAATGCTGGGTCACTTTTTACCAATTTGATCCCGGAGGCAAAATGCCACTACTGCGCTGGAGTAATAGCCGAGGCCATGAGCCCCAAAGATCTCCCACGTGCATTGTCGGAGATACTTTGAGTGCCAGTCCTCCTTTCCTGCCTCCCACTCAGTGCAAAACGACGAGCTGCCAACCTGGGCGCGTGAGGATAACGCAACACTATAATATATTTGCAGCTTTAAACAAAAAAAAACTCCAAAAACTGGACTTCAAAAGGACTTTTTTTTCACACACACACACCGCACCCCCGATATTAATTACCAGGGAAACAATTGGCTGTTTGGAGGGGATATTTTTTCAGCCTCGGTCACAAAGGAGGTTTGAATTTTCTGCTTAAAACATTGGGCTCAAAGGAGGTTTGAATTTTCTGCTCAAAACATTGGGCTCAAATAACCTCTCGGGGGCTAAGCCCATCTGTTGGTGACACTGTCCATGTGTGGTGATAAAAGCGGGTGCTATGCAGACATGTTAATGCTATGTTATCAGTTGGCCTGTTGTTATGGGTTTCGGATCTGTTGCATTTTTTTTCACAATGTCGTTGATATTCTAAACTACTGCTTTCTTGATCTTTATCTCATGTACATTGTTGGGGTGGGGGTGGGGGGAATCCTCGAACCCTTCGGCTGGTGACAGTCAAGCCCTAACCTAGCCCGCACGCCAAGGAAAGCAAAGCACTGTTGGCTTTTGGTAGGAACTATGAGACACAGGAAGGTCTCACCCAGTGACTGGGGGTGTGGGGGCAGTGGGGTGGGGGGGCCTTGTAACTCTGCTGTGGCCGAGATCTTCCGGTAGGAAAGTAACGCTCGGCCCAGTGACCCAAGGATTCCTAGGGAGAACTTATCGTTCTCCGGCCCAACACAAGCCTGTCAGAATCTCCACCTGAAAGTGCCAGAGCCCAAGAGTCATCCACCTCAGCCCGGATTACGTGAAGCCTTTCCCCAAGTGTGACTCACCCGATCGCTGCCCCACCCTGACTTTGAGGGTTAGTTTCAAAGCCCGGCCCATAGTGCCAGTGCCCAGGGGGAGACAGGACAACACGAGGGAGACTTGTGCCTTAGCACCCGTGAGAAAAGAGCATCATGGCTGGCACTTGTGTGCGCAGTCGCTCTCACACGCTTACCTGGTGAGGGGGGGGGGCTATCTGGTCAGGAAGTGGGGTTACCTGGTGAGTAGGAGGGGCTAGGTGGGGAAGGGGGGGGTTACCTGGAGAGGGTACGGAGATAGCTCCCAAGCGCACACTCCGTGCTAACTCCGTGCTCTGTGAGTTCAGCAACTTCAGACACAGTTAATGAAGGAAAAGAGGAAAAGCCAGAGAGAAACGGGAACGCATGGGTCTGAGCCACAGCCCCCCCCCCCCTCCCCCCCTCTCCCCCTCCCCACCCCCCATCCCCCACACCAACCCAGTGTGATATCAAGTACAAGAAAACAACACGTCAGCACAGAAACAATACCAATCGCTCTAAAAACCCTTTACTATGGCCCTCCACAGCGCACTGGGAGAAAAGAAAACCACATTTGCTGGAGTCTTAGAGCTCAACCCTTACATACTCGGAGGGAGGTAATCTATTCCAACTTTAACTATCCGAACGATCATGTCATTCTGTCACTCTGCTTATCGTCTTGTACGAATTTGGTTGCCTCTGCGACATTCTTCCATCCTGTGCACGAATTATTGTTGCTAATTAAAATACATTGGAGGGACGGTGACGTGAGTATCACCTTGACGCGAGTCAGCGTCAACACCTCCCATTCACCGAGGCTCGCTTTGGTTGCCGACCGACCACCGCCCCCCTCCCACCCCATCCACCAACTGCTTGTCACGCCTAGTCAGGCTGGGGAAGGAGCTTTCATTCAGACCCATCAACGGATGATCACCGAGATGTGTGGGATTGAAGCTGGTGCAGACAGTGCACAGTGTTGGCACCAGCGCCCAGAGGATCTGCCCACGTGCTGTACAGGAGCTGGGATGACACTTGCACAGCACGGGCCAAACAGTTCCCTGTTATAAGTATCAATTCTCATCCATCGCCCCCTTCCCCGCACTACACGACCCTAACCCTAGGGAGATCCCACTTAGCTCTTCCTCCATCCCTCCCCACCCTCCGATGGTCGAACAGTCTGCAACGTTCGGATGGACTCTCAGTCAGTGCATTGTAACTGCAGTCTCTGAACGTGTGGCGAAGTGTGGTTTATGGAGTGTTATTTATTGCTGTTTTTAATCAACTTTTTGGGGGTCAAGCGATTTCTCTGCCGACCTCGACTGATTCCGGAGTGTCCGGACACATGGTGTGTGCGCGTGTGTGTCTGTGCAGGGAGTCGGCAAACCAGATTAACGCCCACTTTAGTTTCTGCGATTTGCTGGCACCACCGACAGACAAGAGTTTGCTTTCCACATTCGATATTTAGTGCCGAACATCTTAGCGGTTGCTTCGCAGGTAAAAGAAAGACGGACTCCTCACCGAGCAAGTGACGGCAAATCGAACGATTTACTGTGCAGTTTACGTGCTGCGATTCCGTCATTCAGAATTAACTATCGCGATTATCACAAGGAGAGAACTTGCGGTTGTTCGTTGTTTAGCTGTAAATCGCAGGGAATGGTTTCTCTCTCCTGCCTCAGAGTTTTGCTTTTTCATGTCTGGCCACTCGAGTGACTTTAAAGATTTTTTTCGGGGGGAGTTTAATATTTATTTTTAGACCATGACCTGGTGAAGAGTGGCAAAATGCGCACTCTCCCCGGCCCAGAAATATTTTTTTTTCCCCCCCACCCGTCTGGGCCTGAGGTGTATAGGCCCTGGGCTGCAACCTCACCTCGCAGCTCAGCTAACAACTGTCAAACTTTCCTCTTGTATTGTCTTGTATTGTAGCTCATGGGGCACTGCGGCTCCTGTTCACACACAATGGGCCATCTCAAAAGAGGGAGGTTGATGACGGGCTTTGGAAGGAGTGACTCCTGCAGGTATTTGGGTGTGTCTCGGGACTTGTATCGGACACCGAGTTTAATTCCAAAACTTCGCAAAGCCAGATCGTGGCCAAAGGAGATTCCTGCCCGGGTGAAGACACATCCAGGTTACTTGCAGGATCTACTGTTTAAAAATCACTGCCGTGCTGCGTCCCCACATACCACTGACCAACCGAGCCAGCCATCCTGCTAGCAATGTCCCAGACACCACTCCAAAGCCATCACTTTTATCGCCCTGCAGGACACCCTCCAGAGACAGAACTTGTCCTCTCATATCTGGGCAACTCATCCTCCACGGGTCTCAGTAACAGCAGCCGTGTGTGTCTCAATCCAAGGCTCCAAATCAAGTGTCCTCTGAATCTCTTTCTGAGATTTCACCAGGCACCTAATCCCCGAATCGCTCTCAGTCATTCACAGCCCAGCACAGTATTTTGTCTTAAACATTGAAGGCCTCGCAGTATTTCACCCACAAAATATAAAGTCGATTCACTTTATAGTATATTCTATGAAGCGCTTTGAGATGTCTCAACGTGTTAAATGCAAAGGTTTAATATTATTCTCCATAAACTCCAGGCTTGGTTAGTGAGCTAGTTTCCAAATTAAGCCTGGATTGGAGTTATCATTTTTTTACACACTCTCTTAAAACGTTAAACTTTAAAGGCAAAATAGCCTTCCAGGTGAAGACTGGGCAAAATCCAGGCACCGTGTGTGTGTGTGTTCTGTCAGATTCACGTTCTCATTGAGTGTAGAGCTCACGTTCCTTCGAATTGACACCCGTAATTTGATGTGACTTTTTCTTTCCCCCTTCCCCATCCCACTCTCCCACCCCCTCCCCCCCTTCCCTCCCTCGCACCCCCCCCCACCCAATTCAGAGCGAAAGAATTGAGAAAGACAAAGGAACCTGAAGACGCACAGAAGCACCACATGGCAATGATATAAAACATTGCTAACTGACTATATAGGTTTATATCAGAGACATTCACAAAGATCACTGCAGATTCTGGAAGATTTTGCAACATTTTTCATCGCAACAAGGCTCTGGAACCTTTTTTTCTCAACTACATCGGCACTTTTACGGACCTTTTTTAGAAAAAAAACAAACGAGGCACCATAGGACTTGAAGCTTATGTTTTAAAAGAGAAAACTGAACTAACTTGTAGAAAAAGAATTAACCTCTTATTACCAGCCTGGCTTCTATTTACTGTAAACTGCGTTTCAAGGTTTGCAAAACGAACGGGGGTTTATGTCAGGAAATAAGCTACCGCACGCCTGGGGGAAATGGGTGGGGGGGGAGAGAGGGGTGGGGGGGCTCAGGGTGGGGGGGTGGGCTAAAATGGGGGAAGAAACAAATCAAATAAAAGGTGAGTGGATGGAGTGACGTTGAGCTGCAAGCTGAAGGGGAGGAGGCAACGGGCGGTTTATGTGGTCACTTGAGGCGTTGGGTGGGTGGGTAGATAGCTAGGTGCCAGCCACAGTGTTATACGTGCCGACCGCAGAGCTCTGGGAAGAGGGCAGGGGACCCAGCCCCAATGGAAGGCTTTGCTGTTCTCTATTCGTTCCCCGTCAGGCCAGGAGTGTTTTGCTCTTAGAAACACGAACGAGGACATGAGTGAGTCTTGTGGAGTGCAGGGGAGGGCGGGGTGGGGTTGCTGTGTGTGTACTTGTGATGAGTTGTGGTGGGGAGGGAGGGAGGGAGTTGTACGTGTAAAGCAATACATGTTCTGAGTTCGCTTTTCAACCCTTTTGAAGCCCCCCCCCCCGCCACCTTTAAATAATTCCTAGGCTCTTGAGGCTGGCCTCTCTGCTTTGAGACCCCGAAAATGCACCCAAATTGAGCCAGGATGGGAATGGGTGCCTTGCACTCACTACCATCACATCTGTTCCTGGGATTATTCCCAACAACAACCATCTGTATTTATACAGCGCCTTTCACATCGTCCCGTCTCGGAGCGCTCCACAGGGACAGAACATAGGAATAGGAGTAGGCCATTCAGCCCTTCAAGGCCGTTCCCTCGTTCTATGAGATCATGGCTGATCTGTACCTCAACTCCAATTTACCCGCCCTTGCCCCATATCCCTTGTTACCCTGACCTAACAAGACACCGAGCGGGGAGGGAGGTGACTGTAGGACTTCTTCTCTGACAATCATGCTGACCAACAAGCCACAAAACCTGCTATAGTCTTATGTTTTTCTTGAACATCTACAGGGAGCTGACATAAAGCAAGTTAAGGGGTTAAACAGAGCCCCAGTGCCGCACAGTCGAGGTCGTGTAGAATTCTGGAAAGATCTTAAATTCACTCCTAATTTGAAAGCGGGTTTTTTTTAAACTGCGGAGGAAACGGCATCCAAATTCCGACCTAATTTTATGAAACTTCCCACTATTCCACACACTCTTTTAATGTTAAGAGCAAATGGCTAAGATTAAGAGGCGTGTTTGGTCTTGGATTCCTCAGTGAGTTCCTGGCATTCTCTGGAGAAGAGTGGCCTGGACAGAACCAGTCTGGTAGAGATTTGACTGCAGAAAGAGCTTCTTACTGCAACTCTTTCCCTCCGTCTCTCTCTCTCTCTGTCTCTCTCGCCTTTTCCCTCATTGTCTCATAAAGAAACAGGATGCCCTCACACAGTTACCCTCTCTGATCCAGTTTACGGTCTCTCCAGTGTCTGTGACCTGCAGAAAGGCCTGGGATCGCAGACTGGCATTGAGAGCAATCCTGGAGTTTGCGCCAAGTTACTCCGCAAAGCACTGCCAAAGGAAAGCTCATGCTGTGGCTCTTGTGTTTTAACCCGTTCACCCCCCACTCCCGTGGAGAGCGGGGGGTGAAGAGGACACTCCCCACTGAATAGTATCCACTGGAAGTTTCAGTACCTCCGTGCAACGTAAATAAGATCATCCCACATCTTAATTCCAACCATTTCTACCTTAGCACACCGATTAAGCTCAGCAAAGTGTTCTACAATGTAAATACTAGTTAGACATACTTTACCAGCCAAGTATTCCAAGACCCCTCAGGTGCTATGTTGAAGAGTGTGGGTCTGTATTAGTAGACACCATAGAGTAAGGAAGTTAAATATAACCGAGCGACTAAAACCTGTATAAAATATTATTGTAGATAAGAGTTTTTTTAACAATCAAAAGTTTACAGTATTGCAGATTTTAAGATTTTTTTTATTAACAACCGTAAGACACAGTGCCACAGCCAGTGAGAGAGATGATGTGTGGCTGTCAATTCAGCTCTTAGTCTGTCCCAGAGGAGCCTGGTTATGCCCTGGCACTCGGAGGATGGATGGGGTGGGGTGGGGTGAGAGCCAAGCTCCTAACAGTGTGATTCATGTCCTGTTGCCGTCACGATTTAATATCTGTAAATCCATTCTGCAGATGCGGGATTTCGGAATCCAGAAGTGAGGATTGTGAGCGATTGGATCCAAGGTGCTTTCTTCCTAGATAGTGTCGTTTGGTGAGAAATTATGTCTGAAGTGAATGGACAAGGCTGATTGATTGCTTTGATGGCTTTGTGTGTGTGATGTGTAAGGGTCTATGTGTGTGTGTGTGTGTGTGACGTTTGTGTGTGTGTCCGTGTATACGTGATACGTTTCTGTGGGTGATGCGTGTCTGATGTACGTGTGTGTGTGTGATACATGTAAGGACTATCGGTAGAGAATTTCCTGAAAGCTACATTATATACCTTGCTGTACAAACGTACGGTTTAGCTTGTGACAGACACTGGCTCTGAGATCTTGACGGCTCATTTCACAGTTCAAACGACAAGTTCTTGAGTGTACAGTTATCTGAGCCGTTACCTTTGTCTCATTTATTTATAAATATACTGTATATCGAAGGGATTTTTTTTTGGGGGGGGAATGAAAGGGTCGATCACTAGGTGCATGTGGCACCTAGGCCCTGAAATTCCACCTGGTCTCAGCCATTAGATCTTGAAATCTAAAGACGGCACAGGATTGTGGACAATTCCTACACCCTGCCCTTGTTTTGAAAGCCAGTTTTCCGCAATTCTTAAGAAGAAACCGACTTGTAAATCAGGACTCAGTTGAAGAATATTCTGCGCCATCTAAATTTCAAGACAAAATGGCCATGCGGACTAAGACGAGAGGGAATTTGGGGGCTCGGTTTACAAGTTCTGGTTTGAGCTTCCCTTTGGGGGTAGAGAGAACAGTATGTGGCAGCCTGTGTTCTCCAATGCCACTGGCTGCCAGATACTGTAACTCACAGTTACACTGGGAGATGTTTCAATGAGCACTGATGGAGAGCAGTATTGAGAGCAGTGTTATTATCACTCAATCCACAACTGTTTGCGGGACATTGTGTGCAATTAGCTGCCACGTTTCACTTACAAAATATATACACACAGTCAATTCACTTTACAGTATATTCTGTGAAGCGCTTTGAGACGTCACGACGACAAGTTAAGGCGATCTGTCAAATGCAAGGATAATTATCATTGGGAAAGAGGAAAGCCGGAAAGTGGGATTAACAGCCCCAAAAAAACAACCGTGGCAGCACGGACGCAGCAGTGATTGCTCCAGGTTTGTCAGGCGGTGGGCAAAACGGGGGAATCAAAGAGAAGTTTCAGCAAAACCAAAAGCCTTCCATTGGGAACACCAGCCTTATTGTGTGAGTCGAGCAGGGGTGTGTGTGGGGTGAGGGGGTGTGTGTGGGGTGGGTGGGGGCGATTCAGTCTGCCGAGAGCAGGAAGGGAGAGGGGTTGTGCAGGAATCCAGCCAGGTTCAGTGTCAGGGCTTTCTTGCACAGGTAGAGCACTGTGGTCAGGTATGAAACCAGGAGATGATCTGCTGCCTGGCACCTGGAGTTAAACCTACGTTGACACCTGATGGTGTGAAACCTTTCCGTACTCCCTGTGAGCAGGGCCTTTCGTACACCGTACTGGGCCTATTATGAGCCATGTGTACACCATGTGTCCCAGCACATGTGCACAGAGGGGATCACAGGTGCCCTTCATGATGTGATTGATAAATCAATGAAAAGGATTGAACGAGGATATAACTAACTATAAGTCGTTTTTCATGGGTTAACTGAGGAACTAAGGGCATCTGACATTCGTTGTGTGCCCATGGGTTTGCACATGGCGCATAATAACCCACGCATAATAGCCCACGGTGTCCCTCTGAGCCACGTGATGTGGGGGGTGAGCAGCTCTGAGTATCAGAGCTCGAAACCGAGGATCTTAAAGCTGGGATACATTTCGAAACGAGTTCCTTGATCCCGTGATACCTAACCACAGTGCCTGTGTGTGTGTGGGTGTGTGTTAGTGTGAGGGGAGGAGGAGGGAAAGAGTGAGGAACTAATCAGAAAGTTGGAAAAAGTACCACATAAGCTGCGTTTTGCCTTTTCAGACGACTCCAAAAAAAAAAACCTTCCTTCCTCAACACCCACCGGCACCTTCCTCGTGTTCTGTCACATCCAGCACTTTATTTTGCCTTACTTACTTTTAGGAATTTTTTTTTATTATTATTTCGTTTGAATTTTTTTTAAAAAAAGAAAAAAACAAAGAATATATATATATATATATATTGCGTGTAGTTTATTTAACTTTTTTTCTTTTGGGAAAATTCTCGTTGTTATTTTTCGGTTAACTTATTTTTTATTTCGATTTCATTCTGTGTTTGTTGTTGTTGTCTTTGTCGTCGTTGTTCTTATGATTGAAGCATTGAAGCTTTTTAGCCTTTCAAAAAATAGGATGATGTTTTTTTGAAGGGGTCACAGTCATTGCCTTGACATCATACAAGCCTACGAAGAGTATGATGTATTCTGCTGGCCAGTATTGTTCACTGTCTCGGTTGCTGTCAGCAACCTAGGTGGACTCTGTATATATTAAACAAAGTTAGTGGGTAAAAATGAATGCAAAATAAATGGAAAAGGGAAAAAAAGATATGAATTATTTTACTGCAAGTGGATCGAGAGTGTTAATGGAACGGAGGTTTTGTATAGTTTTATTTGAAATGAGCTAGCAAATGTGGATGTATTGTTTGTATATACTGTACATATTCGACGACGACAAAAAAAGGAGATATTTGCATGATTATATAATGAGCAAACAAAAAAAAGCATTTAGTGGCAATATCTTGTACAATGGAAGAAATTTATTTCACGATAAGAGTCTCCTTATTTTAAACGTCCTTTTAGAAGGATGTTTTTGCTAACGCATGGTTAATTGCAAAAAGAGAAGCTACTGTATTTAGAATTAGAAACAAAAAGAGGCAAATAATATTACTAAATCAGTAATGTTTACATTTTT